TTTTCATTTTGCAATAGTGCTGTACGCCCTTTTATAACGGATAACGTTTTATTTTCCCCTTCCAAAATTTATTTTTTATCATTGATTAGAATACCTTCCGGCATATACCAAAACATTCAAAGCGGTGATGATGTATTCTTTTCTTTCGATGATATGCAATTTTTGTTTAATTTTTGTAGAATACTAGATATTGCAAGGATATGTTTCATTTTATTGCATGATTCCCCTGAGGGATTACGCCTATATATAAAAAGTGAGTTTAGTTTTACTAGCTACTATGAGACGTTTACATGAAGGTCCTTTTTTGGTCATATAACACTTCAACTGTTTCGGTTCTTATACATCATTTGCTTTCAAATATTTGGCTCTGAGTGTTCCTGATGAATGGCAATCCAGAAAAGCGCTTCGGACGCATGAAATTTATTACGGGTTGTTTTCATTTTTTTTTTAAGAAATCCTCGGAAACAAGATTCTAGGAACGTCTCGAAAATTTTCAATCATTTGTATAGGTAGTTATCTATGTCTTTGATATGGTCCCTTTATGGAATTGCTACCACGTGACATTGTATATTTCAGCAATCGAAGTTCATTTGTAGATCGGAAGTAAAAAGTAAAGACTAGATCGCAGTAAATAATCATTTATATATTCCAACCTATTTGCTTTTTAACAAAACATATGCGTTTTGATGTGAATATTTATCAAATTTCAAGTTTATTATTTAATTTATGTTTTGAGACTGACCCTCTACGCGTTATGTGTATAGTATTTAATACAACATGCTATTGTGCATTGTGACAAAGAAATCCTGGGAATAGTATACTGACAATATATTCTGTCCCAGAATAAACTTATTATTTCTAAACGTGGTCGAAAAGCAGAAAGATAATTAAACAAAACGATATTTAATTTCATTAATAGATACTAACAGACCAAGAAATTCATTAACAGTATTAAGGATGTGTGCACCTCTGTTTCAAATTAACAAGCTTTTAAAAAAAAACTGTAATAAATCGATAGTTAATAAATAAAAGAACTTAAAAAGCAGAAGAAGAAAAAATTAAAAGTCCGTGACATTGCAGTGGGATATCCAGTGAACGGAAACAAAAGAAAATTCACTCTTCTTATGCTAGATTCGAGAAAGTCAATAATAAAACAAAACCGGTGACGATACTGGTCAAAAGTTATTTCTAAATAACAATTGTACATTTTAAAGAAAGTATTTGTTAAACTGTGTTATTAGTTATATATGTTCAGTATTTATCGAGATAATTGCTGTAGAAAAAATCATGTACATACAAAATCGAAAGACCTTTCGGGTCACCAATTTTCTGAGTGTTCCAAAAAGTCATTAGCATGTTACAATTTCCCAAAGTATGCTTATTTTTTCACACCTAAGTTATCGAGCACACCGGTCTGCTCTTGTCACATGTACATTCAATTGAGAACTATTGTCTTTTCGTGAATATAAACATTTAAAAGTCTGTCTGTGCAGGTTAAAAAATTAAAGATAACTATTTTTATAAAGTAGGTATCTTTCTACTTTTTTGTATACAATTTTAAGAAAAGGTCGTCCCGAGTTTTGTACAATTATTTTCGGTCTTCTCTATCTATTCACATTCAATGTTTACATTGAGATAAGGTCTGTTTGATTTTGCTAGTAACTAAATTTCAAAAGTGCCAATCTTTGCTGCATATCAATCGATTCCTTTGGAATTTTTTCCCTGACTTTCTCTGATCTAGCTGTATATAAATACGAATAATTAGCATGTTCCAGAGAGGTATACAGACAATAAAAAAATTAATTGAAGTTAGTACTCCAGGAATTAATTCGCATAGCAACATTTTAAACCAATTTTACTCCAAGCATCTACAGCCTGCTACTTAAGGAGGAAAATGATAACATTGAGTGGAAGTTTTGTTTTTATTTCAATTTATTTCTATTTTTACTATTTACCAGAACGTTTTTCCGTGAATCCATAATTGATAGCGCCCTTGCTAAAATGGGACAAATATTGAGAAGATCTAGTTTTCAGTGTTTACAGGGGAGGTAATATTTTGTCACTAGATTTCCCACTGCTCGTTTTTGAGATATGATGAATTGAAAATTTAGCAAGAAATGATTCTCTCTTGAATTTTTATACATTAAACATTGACATCTTTGTTTCTTTCAAATACTATGAAAAAAGTGACAAGGATGTTATAAGATTTTCAGAAATGGTTTTTCAAACTATATGTAATAAAATTATGAAAAGAAAAGTAGGGGAAGCGGGCAAAATTTTTATTGGCACTACACAGGTAAATCTAGAGAATTTCGAATATCTGACAAAAAATAGCAAACTTCCTTAAGTTCAAACTGAAACTAAATTGATCATTGATAGAATATAGTTAACAATGTTATGTTATGTCCCACAAGTTTTGACAATAAATACATTTATGTAAATTATATCCACATAAAAGCACCAATTACTAGGGATGCACACAAATAAATTAGTATGTAAAATCTTAAAATGAAGTTAATAAAAAAATTATTTGAGCTTCACTGATGAAATTTTTGTAGACGAAACGCGCGTCTGGCGTACAAAAATTTAATCCTAGTATCTGGTTACAGATGCACAATTCATTTCAGGTAGGCAGTAATGGTAGCCTTTTCCTCAATTTCTCTGCCCAAATCGTAATTTTGGATATGTATGATGGCTCGATTCGAAGCTGAGACATTTTCACATATGTGATTAAATTTTCGGGGTACGAAGTGAGATTCATTGCCCCATAATTTAGCACATCCAGAAAAGCCTTTTGTGATGCGGTTTCTCGAGGTAAAAAATCCCTTTTTTTCCACACAATAAGTGTTTTTGCAAATTTAGTTCTTTGCATACATATAATAAGACCATAATATTTACACCTAGATCCTATGGTCCTCTCAGATCTACAAATCAACACAAATGGTTAAGCTCAGTCACTTGTTAAAAATAGACACATGTCCAATATTACTGCACGGAGATTTTTTGTTAACGCACTACTTTTGTGTGAGGCGCATTAGGAATATTGACCCATCTATGATGAGTTTATAGATTTTTACCAAATATATATTTTTAGTTAAATTGGTTATTTTGAAAGCATGTTCAGGTATTCATTAAACTTCTGAAAACAAGATATTCTTCAAAACTAAGTTTTTCCGGTAGAATATTTGGATTGATTAGAGTAACTTCAGGAAACCCTTAAGTTTTGTGACCCAATAATTGTCAGTATATATGAAAGCCTAATGAAGCTGGTGTGTTACTCTCAAGAACAAAATACGAAACCTTCTTATAAGTTTGATGCCACAGAATTACACTTCACATGGACATTTCTCTATACCACCATGAGTACAGACAGCTTCAATAAAGAGAAGAAGAATAATTGAAGGCTTCAAGATAACAAAATATGAAGATATGAAAGATAAAATGAATTCATAAAGCAAACTGAGCGCTGAAATTTATATTGCGATTGGTCTGTACAATTTGATTTAGACATCCGGTTTGCAGAAACTTGGAATTGCAATAGGATTAGGACTTTGTATACTAAACACGAAGAAAAAATGATATAAAATCCCAAATTAACTTTATCTAAAATAGTAAAGCCTTAAAAGGTAAATTCAAAGGGTAGATGTAAACACTTTTCTATTTACCATGTTTACAAATATAATCCAACAAGGATTTTAATTGACTTGTCCAAGAATCTACACACAATTAGATATTTTCAATAAAGGTGTTTTAACTTCTTCAATACCCAATTCTACCTAAAGTCAATTACTTCAAATCAAAGGCAAACGAATTCAGCAACAATTGTTTGGTGACCAGTCAGCGGTTTCAGATTCACGTATTGCTTTTTTTTTTTAAGAAAGCAATTTGTTTATTTTGTTACACACTGTTACTTTTAGTAATTTGTATGCTTACTGTTAGTGAAAAATTTATGAATTCATTGTTATATTTTCTTCTTTTCTCTGGTTGTTTATTTTTGTGCAAAATAAATCATTTGAGTTGAAACGAAAAAGTATTTATCAACAGTTAATTGATTTAAAATAGTTATCTATGTTTCAATTCAAATTGCATGTTCATGTTTAAAGAACATTATATGAATGAAAGAATGAATGAATACTTTATTCTCTTAAAACATTTGTTACAGAGAACATATAGATATTATTAATATACAAACTTATAGTGCATGTGTGAATTACATATACATGTATAAAGTAATACTAAAAAGTTCTAACCAGGAGGAACGACCTTCTCTTGGACGTTCTTAATAAATTTACACAGATTTTCTAATAAAATATAATTACATTTTTGGAAGAAAATAGCTGTTCAAACTCATAAATGTTAACATTTTCGTGACAAAAAGGGGGAAGCAGACTTCATAACTTCAGGGCATGCTAACTGTGAATCTCTGTTATTCGCCAATTATAGTACGGTGGACACTTATGTGATAGCTTTTGTTATTATACTAGTATTCCTTAGTATTATTGCAACACACCTTTTATAATACTAGTAAAGTAACAAATATTTCAGGAACATTAATGATACTTCATTCAGCATGTAAACATATGATTTCTGCTAAAAAAAAACACTATTTCCACTTCCGCTATCTTAAACTCTTGTTTGCTTGTGTGCCGATAGCGTTTTACTCGGAACCCTTCTAGTGCGTACCAAAGTTTATGGAGAAAGTATAGAATACGGTATCGGTCATGATGCATATTGATGCATAAACCAACATTTTCTTCAGAAAATGCTTGTAGCAAGTTAGGAATACGACAGTTGTTTTCCATACCTTTCGTTTATAAATAAAGTCGAGCGCTTGGTTTTGTCATGTTTATTGACTTCCCCCTTTTTGAATTTACCTTGGAACTCGGTATTTTGGTTAATTCTTTGATTTAACTCATCGGAAATGCCCGACTTTTAGAAATATTGGTAAAAAAAGACCAGTTAAAATATCGGCAAACATTGCATTTTCATTGACAAAAAAATCTACATGAAATGTTTATTTTCACTAAAGCTTGTATCTGAAATCCATTTTCTTATCTGAAAGAAATAAAAGAACTATATTAAGAAGAATTTTTGACAATCATTATCGTTTAAATGCTTTGTGATTAATTGACTTTCAAATACTTGAGCGTAAAAGTTGTTATTTCTCGCATTCAATTCAATGGTTTAACAATTTTTTATCAGTAGAAAAGACATATTTCTCAATATTTTCCCATATTTTCTTGAATGTTTCAGTTGTAAAAAAAGATAACAAAACGGATTTTAGGCAGCTCGATAACAATCAGATTGTCTGGTATAAGAAAATAGAATGAAATAACTGAACACTGCATACTTAAACCTTTGATAAAATACATACTCACTGGTGTGCTTATTTCTTTAAATGCAGTGGTGGCAACATTTTGAATACATTTGAATACATTTTAATATGAACTTCATACACCCTCCCGAAATGTTATATTCTCAATAGAAACGTAACATAGATGTTTAAAACGATTTCATAATTTTCATTTGCAAACAATTATCGCGTGATGCTCTAAAATGCAATATGATGCAACAAAACGCCGCAAAATATTGAAAGAATGTTAGTTTACTCACCCGAAAGCCGGATCAAGAGATCCTATGAAAAGAATTAAAATGCTTTACTGACCCGAACAAAATTCAAAAAAGCTTACTTGTAATTCATTTTACTTCAAACAGAAAATAACAACTGTCGATTAATTGTGATACTCAAACGTACGTATGGGCTAGTTACCATTTAAAAAAATATTCCATTATTTATTTGCTAACTATCATCAAGTACAGAACCCCCTAATTTTATAAGTTTTAAGACATAATGACATTGACCCTGCATACATTAATAGCATAATCGGTAAATATAATGATGATAAAGAAGATAAATACTTTAACGTTTGTCTATGAACTCTGATAAACTATCTTAGAAATGTAATAACTTACTGCCAAAACAATTTATAAATGAAGAGAATAATATACTAGAACAATTAAAATTATTAAGTTGAGTGTATGCTTTATCCGCTAATTTAATGCAGTTACATTTCGTTTTCCAGGAAATACAGCCAGACTGGACATATGTGACGTCATAATTCCCAGTTTTGAGTTCATGCGATATATGATGTCTCTTCCTGACGATATTACATTGGAGACCAATCAAATAAAAATAATATCATGTATAATCTTCGCTGTTTCATTTGAAAGTAATGAACAGGTGCTCACATAAAATTAAAAATGTCCCTCCGACACAGTCGATGTTGACACAGGGTTAACTTCTACATCGTTTTATTTTGAAGATATGAAGCGATCATCGCTGTCGAGAAATAGAGTTTTGAATGCAAGCATCATTAACATCGGTATCTTTCACTTTTCATTCTATTTAGTCAAGAAAGGTACTCAGACAGCATATACTTACCTAATGAACTACAAAGGTTACACGCCTTTGGACACGTGGCTAGAGCATAGTCTTTTGATATTTGGTCTGTAGCTTTACAAAGAATACTTAAATATAATGCATCACTGCACTTCGTTTCATGATCAATGCATTGGAATGATGCTGTTGTGGGTAAATCTAAAGGATGAATGTTTTAAATTAATGCATTAGAATTTTACAAAACCAAATAAACGATTATCTCAATACCATTCTCGATTAGAAATGTTAAAAAAAATATGAATACGTGCACAATTGAATTAAATATTTGTCGGGAACTTAACTATTTAGTTTTAAATACGATTTATTTTCAGCCACAAAGGTTATATCAGCTCGTCAATGTTTATAGTAGGACTTTTGTTTATTATTACTTCGGCCTTGTCGGGCATCTCCAAAGATTCACTTCATTTTGTTATTGTCATTGCTACCGTTTTAATTTATTTTGTTTTTGTTTTATCAAAGTGTACACTAGGTGTATAGTAATTATCAAATTTCTGAACCACGCAACGAGCAAGCAGGATAGTAAAACTGCATTCCGATAAGTATGCTATCTTCCCAAAATGGCTGCGCTTATACTACACAATGGTTTAATTTAACCTTAACGTACCCAGCCAAGTAGGCCTTCGGTGTTTTCTTTTGAACTGATTTACATTTTGTCATCCCAGGGCCTTTACAACTTACTATATTGTAATGAATTGCTTATTGTTGAAGGCCGTAAAGTTACAAATAATGGCTCACATTTTTAAGGTGTCCCATTGGCAATCATACTGCATCTCCTTATTTTCAATATGGTTGAAAACGACACTGAATAGCCATACCTCTTTGACATTGCTTAATTAGAAGTATAACTTTTGGCACAAGATATAAATATGAATAATTACCTGTTGTTGTAACAACATTTAGAGGTGTTGTACTCGATTGTAAAGCTACAAATTTCATAGAAAGGGTACAGATTATCAAAAGAAGTTGTACTACAGTAATGAATAAAGAAACAATATTTGAATAAAAACCATTCAGGAATCAAATATTCAATACCATTTAACAATTCTGGTTTCACTACTAGCTTTAAAAAACTAACGTGCTAGCATTGAAATATCTTATCATGGCTTGAATATGTTTTCAACTTATGAGTTTTGAATGTCCCCTTAGTATTTTTTGCCTCATTTATTGATTCATCATACATTAGTATTTATTATCTACTCGGATCTGACGAAGGCAAAGTAAAGAAGCAGCTTTTTACATATGTTTTTTCATCTCAAAGTCATAATGCCTTCACAATGGCCTTTACAGCTGGTTTGAGATAATTATAGCTAGATGTTGTTTATGCTATATTTGTGCTTAAAAACAAATAGATTCATGACAATATCAACAAACTATAGACTTTAAGAAAAGGGCAAAGAAATCGAACAGTCACTGTAATATTTTGTCTTATTAGATTGAATTATGCTTTACACAAATAAGCATTTGGTATTCATATATCTATCTCCAAATTCTGGATAAACTATCAAAAATGCGATACAATTAAGCTATCATGCATTCATTTAAACAAAATATTAAAACTATCATTTGTATGTGAGTAGCTGCATGTCATATATCTAAGTGAAAAGGATACCACAGAAAGGTCAAAGTCTGCTTCATATCTTGTATTTTTTCTTAAATCAGACGTTATGACATGAGTAAAATTTACTGTCTACTACAACTTTTTTGTTTGCGTCATTGTTAGAGTAATTTTTTTGCTTGTTTAATATTTTTAGTGAGTTGTGTTGTTTATCTGCGATGTATGTTCACACAGGTTTGACTGCTGGATCCCAATTATTGTCACATTAACCTATTAATTCTCTTTGGGTTGCTCACTCAATTTTGTCCATATAACGGAACTATAATAACTTTCACTTTTGCTTATGTAATTTGTCTATAGAGTATTTATATATTATCGTTTTTCTTTGTTGACATAGTTGTTTGTTTTATAGTGATTAAGATTATAACGCAATGCTAACTGCTGTACCCCAATTTTTGACATTTTTACCTATTATGTCAGTTGTTTTTGCTCACACATTGTTGTCAATATAATGGAAAAATATGCGACTGTTGTACACGTGAGATGTTTAGCTAGCTATAAAACCAGGTTTAATTCACCAATTTTACATAAGGAAATGTCTGTACCAAGTCAGAAATATGACAATTGTTTTCCATTCGTTTGATGTGTTTGAGCTTTATATTTTGCCATGTGATAAAGGACTTTCCGTTTTGAATGTCTCCTGGAGTTCTGTATTTTTGTTATTTTATTTTTTGTGATAGAAGTGGAAGGTTTAGCTAGCCTTAAATAAGGTTAAACCCACTGTATTCTTCGGAAAAGTCAGTTGTTTTAATTTTTCCGTTGATTGATACCGTTTGAGTTTGTCCGTTTTTATGGACTTCCCCTTTTTGAATTTGCATTGAATTTCGGTATTTTTGTTATGCTTTTTTTTGATATATGACAAATGTGACAAATTCAGGGTTCCATAGTGTTAATTTCCAATTTCTCATTAACAACATACCTTCCCCTATATATTTAAGTGAATTGCCAGTTATATTTTCTGTCTATTAACAGGTCCAAATTAGACTTTTCAACATTCATAAAACTGTATAAATTGTAGCAAACAATAAATTTTACAATTCGAGAATTGAATCATTGAATTATTTGTTATATGGTCCTGGTAATTATAGGATTTTAATTACGAAATTCTAAAAGTTAAGTTATTCTTGATAACGTAATTTGACGGTGACAACACAGGACCACGCACTGAATGTAACAAAACAATTGGCTTATTTCAAGAGCATACAGACTGAAGGCTGCACTACTCATGAAAAGCAGTTTTTTGCAACTAAAAAAGCGATGTTTAATTGAGGTTTATATATGTAAAAATTTAGATTATAATATGCAGTTCACTTAAGTGCCAATATGACCCGAAATCGTAACTGTCAGTTTTACTGTATACTAGTAGTTATTTACAATTACGATGAAGATTTACTTATTGATCTAGTTTTTAAAGAATTGTCTTTTGAACATGATATTTTCCTATGAAATTGCCTAAAAATACAGGTAAATCAAACTTGTAAGGAAATGCATTTCTTACCGAAGAACTCATTACATAAATTGCATGACTTTGGACATGTTCGAATTGCATAATCCCTATTTGTAGTGTCTGGTGATTGACATAGGATTTGCTGGTAAATTGCATCTTTACATCTTTGATCCTGGTCTCTGCAAACCAGTGCCGTTGTAGCTTAAAACATCGTTAAAATAAAAACGTTTTGTATAATTAAGATACAGTAACTAGATTAAATAAAACCCATTAATTTGTTCAACACAGTAACGCACCTTATGTATTAGTTCCGTTTTTAAAAATTATTGAGGTCAAAAGCTCATTTACATAGTTTTTTTGGTACTTATATCAGACAATCAGATGCCAAATTTATATTGAAAGTTTGAAATGAGCACACTGGATGTCAGAAGACTACAATGCGGTTTCCATAACTATTGTTTTGCAAACAAAATTTGTTTCAAGCAAGAGAATTAAAAAAATATTTCTTAAAATAAGCATAAAGTAGAGAAGGAACTTGAAGAGTATTAATTACCAAAAATTTCGAAAAGTTGTGCTTCAAACGACGAAGACAATCTTTATCCGGGGGTAGAAAAACCTTAGCGTTTTGCATAATTTAACATGTTATAATTAAACTTTAAAAAAATGAACATTTCAATGATATAATTCTGTAAAGAGGAATTTTTCCTTGAGCTTCACATCTCTGTTTGTTGAATGAAATCTACTTGATATGTATGCTTTAAAGTTAACCATCAAAATATATTCATATGTGGTTAGATAACATATTTTTTTAAATAGAAGTACTGATCAAAATCGTACAGAACGCTGGAAAAAAAATAATAATAACAATAGGTTTTAGTTGGCTTGTCGATTCACTCTAGCTTATTTTGAAATACATGGTATCATTTACAGAAGAAAACTACGTGACACACACATTTACCTTGAGTTGTTGTCTGTTCCATTGTTGTTGTAACAACTGGTGCAGGAGTTGTGACAACAGGTTGAGAAGTTTGGGGTACCATTTGAATTGTTGTAACAGGTGGCTGAGTGGTTGTGGTTACTACCGGTGCTTAAATAATAACAATAGACTTTTCATCTTTTCAAATTCTTTATTCAGTGAATTCTACAGCTGGAAAAAACTTCTTAACAGTAAGAAAAGGACAAATTTCTATTAAAATTTTTTTTATTTTGATGTAAGATTATGTTGCATCTCCAATGCTCATTTTTATAAAACAAAATCCGGTTGCATTTCACCTTGACAGGAAATGTCTTTTGAAAAATAGATGTAACAGATGTTTTTTTTCTATGCTATTCATCTGTCCTCAAGTTTTAATACTTGCAGATTTAGGTTTCGTGTAAAACTGACGAGAATTGAACTTTTAAAACGACAAATTGATCATTCTATTTTTCTATATCTAGAATTCACACAACCGAAAATATATTGACTTTGCGTATTTTTTAAAGCCGTACGGTGACTTTAGTTTACACCCTCGTCCTATGGTCTCCGTTGGGTAGCTGTCTAATTGGCAATCACACCACATCTTATTTGTATATTGAAATAATAATGCATTGCTACACTTTCATCAAACAGAGTCAGGCCTCTTTGACATTTAACTTGACAGACATTTCCTGTAGTTATCCTTCCCACATACACATAGTGGTATATATTTCTTTCTGTGATATTATGTAATTTATCTGTCCTCAAATTTTGATACTTGCAAATTTCCAATATCTTTCATCGAGCTCCACAGACGGGAACAGTGTACTGGTTTGTTTAAAGGCATATATTCTGCATTAAATCAGAGAAATGCTACTGTTGGTGGATTGTAATTTCAAATGGTACTACTAGTAACTGCTTTGTCATTGTCATGAGTAAGTGAACTGTGAACATTCTACGTTGACGGAAGCTTAAAATTTGGTTAAATTGTTTGAGTTTATTTCGTTTAATTAACGGATTGAACCTAAATGGTATTATCTTTAATAAATAAACTTTAATACTTAGATAAATAAACAAAGCATATGGGGTATCCACCAAAATTAGTAAATGCACAGCAAAACAACACACAAAAAGCAAAGGAACAGCGCTTTTAATTCTGTTCTTCGTCTCAAAGTCACAATGAGGCCTTCAATATAGAGAAAAAAAAACACTCACCTCACTGCAAGTTTAAGACGTTCCCTAGCACCGGTTTGAGCGGAATTCTTTTCAAACTGATTCGGATAGACTTTGTAAGATGTATCACCACCAAATCGGGCCCGATCAAAAAAGAAACATTAATATAAATTTTACCTTGCGTAGTAATAGGAGACAAAGTTGTTATAGAAAGCTGTGTAGGTGATGCAGTTGGGTTAACCATCGGGTCAGCAGTGGTCACATTAGTAGTGGCAGCAGTTGTCATTAATGCATCTGTTTATAGATCATACATTGTTTTGGTGTTGTATATCAAAAAGAAATTTAACGATAGAAAGGAAAAGTTTCAAAATGAAAGATTGCAAAGGCAATCAGAATTTAACCTGATGAAACGTTACTATCAAGTAATTTGAGTTATAATCCACATACGTTATTAGAATCTCTTTAGTCACTTATTACTACCTTGTAGTTTAATGTGGTTTTTTTTATCCGACCAACATATAAGATATGTATTAATGCAGATACTTCGCTTGTTAATGATTCAAATCTGTTCTGTTATTGCTCTTGCACACTTTGCAATAGAATAAAAACATTTGATTTGACAATAGTTAAAATGATTGAATGGTACTGAATTACTCCCAAAGTAGATATTATACAATTATAGCCTTTGTATGAGGTCGATACGAGGTTATATCGACATAAGAGAACCATATTGACTGAGGATGAAGTCCGAGGTCGATATGCTTTTCTAGGTCGATATAACATTGTATTGGCCTCAACCAAAAGCATCAATCAACAACTATTGCATGAACAATGTAAAATTGGGAATTTCTAGAATGTATTTTTAGAAACATGCTGTATGCCCTGTGCAATATGCTGTTTTTGACCTACGAAAAGCTAAACACAACATTTTTGCAAACTGAGTAAATACAAATGTACATGTGATCAACGTTTAACGAATCACAAATCCTTAAAAATATTCGATTAATAATATACATGAAGATCTCATAGTCTGAACATTTCTTATAATTCATGTTTCAGTTTTTAAATCGGTTTAGGTCTAAATACCATTTTAGGTCAAATTAAATATATACGTGTATAAGACTTTCTTTCTAACCTATTTAAAAATGTTTTCCATTTATCAACACATTTAGGTCCTATCTTTTTTCCAAAGACGAAAATCAAACGAAAAACTTACACAGACGGTTCATACAAGCTTCATCATCACAATGACAATGGTCGTTAGCAGGAAATGGATCACTGCATTTTGGATGATGTCCATGCTTAAAGGTATGAAATAAAACATTGATTTTAGTCAAAAATTAAGGAATGCGTATCAGAAAAGTTGTACAAACGTGCAAAAGATTGTTAATAAAGTAATGAGTTGTCATTTTTATAATGTGTTTACAGAAATATTCATTTTGACAAAATAAGGAGACATCAAAAGGCCAATAAAAACATTAAATGGAGAGAAAAAAAATGGAAATTGACATGTTCAAATGTAGAACGACATAGTTAAAGTATTTTTAGAATCAATGTTTTAGACAAACTAATTTTGAAAAACAATATATTAATCTATAAACTATAAACTGAGGAAAACGAATGTAATGCACGTTTGTGAAAAAAGAACAAATCAACAGTAAAGATAAATTTCACAATTTCAGTTTCTTTTCTATGACACATTCCGATATTGCACATTTTAACACAATCTATACAATTAAGTTCGCCTCATACCTTGGCTTAGATCTAGGAATTGACAATGAGAGCCGTATGACAGCAAACTTTTACCACAAAAGAGATGATTTCAGCTTCCAAATTGTGAACTTTTCATTTCTATGTAGCAACGTTTCAGCAGCGTCTGCATACGGAGATATCTCCCAGTTGAGACAATAGCCCAAGCTTGCATTTTGTATCATGATTTTCAACTTCGTACTTTATTTGGCCTTTTTAACTTTTTGATTCGAGATTTACTGATGAGTCTCTTGTAAACCAAACGCACGTCTGGCTTACAACATTTTAATCCTGGTATCTATGAATTTATACTCATTTTCTACGATCGCTATCACAAATTTATTCATGTATCATTCCTCAGTGTCCTAACTTGGTATAAACATACTTAAGAGTCCACAAGTCAACTGTCATTCAACTGATAGTTCTGAAGGTCTCGAGAATTATGATTTCAAATTCATAAATTCATATGTATTGTTTGATTGTTTTCAGCAAAATGTGAAAATTAGTACGATTCTTACATGCATTAGTAAATCGCACTTGGTTTCGTCAAATGTTATTATACCGGAAGTTTTTTTTTTTTCGAATGTGTATATAACTTTTTACTACTTACGGCATGAAGCTTATCACAGTGGTTGCTAGTTAGAATACCATGATGAAACAGAAGCTTGCAAACCTAGTGGAAAAATATCGTATCAATTAGTCCTGATAAATTGATTATTTTAAAAATCGTAGTTGATCAGAATCTTTTGATTGAAATACAAAGAATTCAATTGAAACTGAATTTGTTTTTGAAAAATAAACATAGTTAATCATATTAAATGAATCTTACTCGCATATATTTACATGACATAACTCTTTGATAAGGTTCAATAATTTTGATTGATAGAGAATATTCGCAAGACATTCCAAAATTATTGTTTTGCTTTTTCCAATAAAATGCAACATCTATGACTGCGCGTACACTCCATGACAAACGTTACAATAATTCAAAGAAAAACGAATAAAAAAGTTAAAACTGTATTTCTTAGATATAGCATTAAAATGAGTTTATGGATTGGATGTTTCTTTTGTAATTTCTTAGGGTTGTTAAAACGTTAATGGTGCTTCCGCTCTTCACACAAACTGTGATTCTGTCAAAGATTTAATGCTTTTTTCAAATATATAATAAAAAGTATGGGTCACCGTGTTATATTTCAGACTACAAGTTGTGCAAAATTGCCAATAGATAAGTTCTATAAAATGCTTTAAGAAAGTAAAAAGAAAAAATGATGTCACCGAAATTGTTTTCAGTAAAAACTGAAAATTTCACTATCATTCCAGTATAAAAAAAAATATATTTATGAGTTATCTCCCCTTAAATGGCCATGTTGAAACATTGATTTTAAAAAACACAAATATTGGTATTTGTTTAAACATTTTGGATAATGCAATAAATCACTTATTATTCTTTATACAAATAAGCAGTTTTAGACATAAATAGCAAATATGTCTCAAAATTTGCAGATTTAGGCAAAGAACTAGACAGATTGTGTACTGCTTTTCTTATCCAGGATGGAGGTATACAGTGAATCTACCTTTACACCCAAAGAAGATCACATTGACATTTTATGCCATAAAAATAAAGTTAAAAATAACACTAAGGCTCGATTGCAACAAGTTTCCTGCACGCATGTGATCTTAATATAGCTGAAATGTTTATTTCAGTGATTTAAATACATATGCTGTGAATATCTACATACATGAGTGCTGTCACATATCTGCTCCACACACGAAAGCGATGTTGCTGTTGGCGCTGAATAAGAAGAAAAAAATGTCACTGTCCACCCAAAGTGATCGTACGATTTGTTAAAGTAGGAAATGTTTACCAATTAAGTAACACCTTCATAATATGCTAAAAGGCAGAACCAACACTTCCAAAACTTCGAAACTACATTTAAATAAGACAACCAAAGTCTAGATTTAGTTCGGGCACTAGCTGATGTCTCAAATGTTATAAGTACATTATTTACTTTATACAATTACATAGGTCAGGAACATTACTTTGACTGTTCTATTTAAGTGATAAATTTAAATCATTTTGCAGCTTTGATCCAATCCAAGCCATACGACTTTGGAATTCTGGTGGTATAAGAAGACCACTGAACATGGACTCCAAGGAGAGGAACTTTATCAGAAAAGCACAAAACTCAGTCAATTCTGATATTAATGAAGCCATTGCCGAAGAAACATCAGGTGGATCAGGAGGTCACAACCACTGATGATTTATAAGTGGAGTATACGTCTGTCATTGCTGCTGCATATGACAAACCAAGTACTATTGACTTGGTCAAAGATGATGCAGATGATGCAGACAGTGATGATGAATTCAGTGACAATGAAGACTATAGCCCTGAGGGAAGGGTTTTTAGGGTTATGTGTCGGTAGGGTTTAATTGAAGAATAAAGAACATCTATTTATATCGCTTTATTGGCATTTTTTATTGCTCAACACCGAAAAAAATCTTAGTAAAATAATTGGGTTACCAATATGCATTTTGAGCATGTGAAATAATTTTTGCACTTCCCTAAAAAAAATTTAGGGGTCAGCCTTCGGGTAGATTTGCTAAAATGTGATTTAGATGATGTACACAAGACATAAATTCGAATAGCATTGAATGATCAGTGGAGGATGTATGCATCTTAAATAGAAAATGTATGATATTTGGTTTCTGGTTTCGGTCTATCAGCAAAACATTGATTACAACAAAATCACTCTCTCGCATTAATCTTATCTGTTAGATCTTATGATGAGTTATGTAATATGGTTGAATGATAAGCAGTTATAAATTTCTGACTTAATTACATAAATTGAATTATCAGACCAATCTTGTTTAAACGTTTTCATTTTTCTTTTTATCCCTTGTCTCTTAATTTTACTTGAAATTTCTGAAACATTTTCTAAAATGTGCGTTAAGCATTCTACTGCTCCTTCAAAACCTTTTTAACTTTAAAAGAAAAATAAAAAATTGTTGAACCTTCAGTCCAAATGTATCTTTTTTTACATTTTTCTATCTTTTTCTATCAAACTGTATATTAGGATATAGTTTTGTATCACACTTTAAGGTGGTCTGTTTTGGTACATGATCCGACATATATGAAAAACAATATGTTTAAGATATTTTACTAAGGGTAGGAGACTCTCACTAACAATCCCATAGTCAACTGTACTTGACCCATTTACTGTGTTTATATTTAATAATGTAACCTAGAAGATACAAACAAGTCTATTAAAGATTTACCTTGTGAATTATAAATTTTATCTTGATTTTGTCGAACTGTTTCATCATCAATTTTATAATTTTCAGGCAATAAATTTGAGCCATTAAATCTACTTATTTCTGCTGAATTCTGTACTACAACATCAGGTTTATTTCCCATCAAAATAATTTTTTGCATGCAGTTCTGTCAAATCTAATGATGAGTCATGTTATATGATAGTCAATTATAAGTCAAGTCAATGAAACTTAACTTACCCTTTTTATTCAGAGATTAGCTTCATGATAGCAACTAATATAGTTCAAATTTCGAGATTATCTATAAATCATATACATTTTAAGACAATGGATGGAATTTGAAGGATGTTTTTCTGTGTTTATAAAAGGCTTTGTGACAACCAGGGAAATACAATGTCACAATTATGTCTCAACTAAAAGGTGAATAATATTCCAGATACACATGGGCTTTTGTTGTTTTTTCTATTGAACACTTTTGAGTTTTATTTCTCTACTCTAGACAAAAATTGCAATATTCTTATGAAATTTTTAGAACTATATGTGCTCTAAATCCAACGTTAAAAGTCATTGTTATAATTTTCCCGACCATGATATTATATTTGATATTAAATATTCATATTACCGCTGTCCTATTTCAAACATGATACTATAATACCATACTTTATCTTTATATGAGCGCTGTCCATTTAAAAATTGCTTACTTAATTGATTTGGGTTTGTACTCATATGAAGCAGAATTCATACAGAACCTCCTTAAAGACAAAAAGAAAACAGTATCTTGCAAACTTCTTTAATTGCACTTTCAGATATATTGATGATGTCCTGTCACTCAACAACCAACATTTCAATGAGTGCTTATATTTCATAAATCCCGGTGAACTTGTCTTTAAGGATAATACCGAAAAAAGAAGTCTGAAATCTATGATAAACGCGATGATTTCAACTTTGGAATTGTCAATTTTCCATTTCTCAGTAGAAGTATACTCTCAGACTCGTCGTATTGCATTTACATATCTCAGTTAATACGTATCGATCGTGCATGTTCACAATATGTGGACTTCATTAACAGGGTTGTAAATATAAAAATAAGAAGATGTGGTATGATTGCCAATGATTTACCAAATGATATAGAAATTAACACCTATAGGTCACCGTACGGCTTTTAACAATGAGCAAAACCCATACCGCATAGTCAGCTATAAAAGGCCCCGAAATGACAAATGTAAAACAATTCAAACGAGAAAACTAACGGCCTAAATTATGTATAAAATAATGAACGTAAAACAAATATGTTCACAGCAACAAACAACAACCACTGAATTACAGGCTCCTGACTTGGGACAGGCACATACAGAATGTGGCGAGGTGAAACTAGTTTGAAGGCGCCAACCTTCCCCATAACCTGGGACAGTGGTGTAACAGTACAACATAAGAAGAAACTATAAAAATCAGTTGAAAAAGGCTTAACTCATCAGATGGATACAATTAGGAAAAATCTTACAAAACCAGTGGACGTGGCAGGGTACTTATACATCCCCACAACAAAAAGACACTAAGTATAGATCTGAGAGTACTCGCAGTTACTGACAGCTAGTTCAAAGTCAATAACAACTAATAAAACAAAATCATTCATCTTAGACTAAAATATCTATCAGTTCACATCCAACATCCAATGTATTTAGTGTAAAGACGTCATTAACAGTCAGAGAAAAACATGACCTTGGGCAATGCCAGGATACATGTATCGGCTGTGTTCCTTACGTAAACTGCTCCAACAGAGTTTTGAGAAAGAACGACTGAAATCAACACTTCTAACCTTTTACAGTCACCATTTCGAATTGGTTGACCGATACGCTGTGTCAGTTTTTCCACTGACTAGAACTCAGAACTCAGAATAGTTGTATTATCTGTTATTTTACTGATTTTGTCCTATTTCCGATTGTGACATTTTAACAGAATGTTCATTCGGATCGCGGATTAGGAGATAACTGTATTGTATTTTAAGCTCCGACGGCATCAATTGGTGATTTGATGATCGCAAATTAAGTTTACTGGCGACGCGTTAGCGGAGCCAGTAAACGGGTATTTGCGACCATCAAATCACCAATTGATGCTGTCGGAGCTTAGAATACAATATTTTTATCTCCATTCTAATGAAACTGACTGTCAAATCATACATTTTAAATCTGTCATACGTCGTCTGCGCTTGCAAGTACGTTTTCATAGCATCAGTTGTGAATTAATGCCATGAAAATTGGTAACGTTATCCAATCAAAATGAACGTTACAAACAATGTTGCATTAGAATGATGCATTCATAGCAGGAGACGCTTATCCTGTCGACGCACTCGGTCTCACGAAGTACTTGCGATTCCAACAGTTTTTATTATGCCTTGATTTATTTCGTCTTAATCGACATACGAGATTCGAATATCGATAAACTACTGTTACCTTAAATTATATTTATCTGAGTAGTTTCCTATTTCAGACCATGATATCATAATTCCATACTAAATCTTTGTATTCAAGCGCTGTCTTATTTCAGACCATGCTATTGGAACTCCTTACCTAACATGCTTACTTTAGTCATGACAAACGGGAAATTGTTTCTTTTCCTTTTGTATTTTGTTTCTCATTAACTACGTTCTGTTAGCCGTTCTGATCGAGTGTTCATTTTTCTGTTATCTCGATATGCACGTATTTGCAGTGTCATCTCCGATGTTATTGAACATGATTTATTCATTACTAGAAAAAAATTTACTACATGAATACAGTTAATTAAAATTGAGAATGGAAATGGGGAATGTGTCAAAGAGACAACAACCCGACCATAGAGCAGACAACAGCCGAAAACATTTCATAAATTTCTTAAATTTCAATTTTACACCAATAAAGGGATTTATTATGAAAATATGGTCCCACATGCACGAATTTAATAAAGTTTAACAAATCCAGTTTTTATGAATAATATGAAATCTATAGATTAACAAATTATCCTTGAAATCTTTCTTTTTTGCCGTTACAGATTTATTGATAAAAAATTATCAGCACAGAAACGATCATTTTCATAAAAATATGATACATCTATTGAACTTCAACAAAATAGAAAATAATATATAATTAAAACTCTGTACTATTGAACAAAATTATGATTTTATGAGAACTTGTTAACAATATACAATATTTTTCTATGATCTGTGAATGATTTTCCCTTAGTATGTAGTTATTAAGAAAAGTTACATCTTGCGAGAATATTATTTGGAGCAAAGGTTTCTCATCAAGCCTGAGTCAAATAACTTATTGTGTGCACTTTTTTCATTTGATTAAATTTCCGGTATTTTTATTGTTGTACAACTGTAACAAAAGAAGGAATTTTCTAGTTAGTCATGAATAAAGGAGATGGGGTTTATATGTCAATGATACAACGACCTAACGACCTATATTACCAAAGGTTACCTAGAGGTCTAATTCAATTTAAATAGATAATTTAAGAATTTAACTCCTCAAATTAGACAAATTTGTAATGGGTTTGATTTAAATTTTCAAGATTGATCCAACAATGTATCTATTAAAACTCACAAACATCTACCACAACACGAAAGCGTATCTGAATTACGCTTTTATTTGTTACATAATTTATCTGTTATGTCATATACAATAAAATTTAAAAAAAAACCTTTATGCAGATGGAAAATGTTAAACGGAACCATTTGTTCCGTAATTTTTCAATTGTAATTCACATTTCTATTAATTTTATGATGTGCAATGCCAATCTGTTTTCAATATCAAATTTTATTTAAGTATTTCATCTAAATATAACTTATGATTCTACACAGATATAGAATTGTAATACTTACGAAGAATTACAAGTACAGATACAAGCGTTGTAAGGACACCCATTGTTGAAGTATGTATTAACTTAAGTAAGCTGCTTACGATAAGAACCAAATTGATTTCTTTCTGTTGATAAACAAAACGTGACTAGCAATGATGACATGGTAAACCTTTAGAATTATCAAGAACCAAGAATTTTGGTCTGATTTTGTATGGTGCCACATAAATGGATGTTATAAAACTGGGGGTTATCGAATACACTTATTACATTTTTCATTTCAATTCATACAGTATGCAGGAGTATGCTTTGATTTTTGCGATTTAACTAAGACATGTAAATGTTTTACTCAAAATCTACAAAAGCATGGCTATAATGAAGAACTATCCTAATTTGTAATTTTGTTATTTCACAAGTACTGCGGTAACAATCAAGAATCTGGTGACCGTTAATTACAGTGTCTTGATTTCTCATGTTACTAGTGATATATTAACCTTCTCACAATTATCAAACCATTTACACTATCATAAGTGTTGTCTTATTCCTGGCTTCGACACTTAGTACTTAATAAAAATTAGAATCTGTATTTACTTGCAGATCAACCAGCTGCAAATAAATAACATTTTGCTAATTCATAACTTATTAATTTCTTGTTCTATTAGTTTCAAATTATGTCACGGAAGACTCATCATAGATATCAGGATTAACATTTGTCATGCCAGACGCATGTTTCGTCTACAAAAGACTCATCAGTGACGCTCGAATAAAAAAAAAGTTAAGATGGACAAATTAAGTACGACGTTGAAGAGCATTGAGAACCAATAATTCTTAATGATTTTGCCAAATCCAACTAAGGCAATATATTCCTAGGGTAGAAAATTCTTCATAAATCGAAAAAATGAAGATGAATTCCATGGATATCTAGCTATAGTTATCTGTTTTTCAGTTTTGTGTCAAACAATAGAGCAGTTTACAAAGATAAGATGTTGCGTGTTTCTATCAACTGGAAAATGAACTTCAGGTTACTGTTGGCTGCAGTTAATGACTATGCAAGACAATGACTAAAGCGCGAGCCAGATGGACCAAAACAGGACACTTTATCTTAATGGACCACAGCTGTTTGATCATGCATTGCAAGTGTATAGAAACACTACAATTACAAGGAGCAACGGGTTTATAACCCTTTCAAAAAGGCCGATGTTGTGGATGCTTAATTATCCCTTCACGAAAACTATGTTGTTGTTCCAGCAGACCAAGCCCCAAACAATTTTAATCTATAATGTAAAACACAGTAATTTTAATGTCTATGTAAAGAACAGTATATCTGAGAATCCCTCATATATCCCCTACATCATTCATGAAACAGGAGATTTTTACAAAATAACAAATCCGTCCATCTCTCCTTGGTATTAAAATGTATCCTTATAAAGAACAATGTTTATCCATGTCTTCTAGATGTTCGACTGATAATCTTTCTAAAGATCATACTAACTACTCTTTCTGCAGTAAAATATAACCTTTTAGAAATATTGTAACGAAGAACTTTCAACCAAAGGTCTTGAAATTCTAAAAGCTTCCCACAAAATCTTCAATCGCAATTTGGCAGTTATATCAGTAACAAAAAGGTTTCTGTACACTACGCTACTATTCATCGTGCTCAATTAAAAGTAAGATCGATTACACCATCTCAATAAACATTGCCTTTTCTACAAAAATGGAATTTATAAATAAAACTTCCTTATTTTAGGTAATGAAAATTGTTATATTGTGAAGAACCTTACTTTTCCAAACAGCAGATATATATTTACGCTGATATTATCAAATTGCTGGACGTTTGCTCGACAACATATTTGTTGAGGTTACTTGTTTGATATTTCTTCAGACAGTCGGTATTGATTGAAATTTCACCAGGCAGTCGGTATTGATTGAAATTTCACCAGGCAGTCGGTATTGATTGAAATTTCAGCAGGCAGTCGGTATTGATTGAAATTTCATCAGGCAGTCGGTATTGATTGAAATTTCACCAGGCAGTCGGTATTGATTGAAATTTCAACAGGCGTTCGGTATTGATGAAATTTCATCAGGCAGTCGGTATTGATTGAAACTTCATCAGGCAGTCGGTATTGATTGAAATTTTATCAGGCAGTCGGTATTGATTGAAATTTCATCAGACAGCCGGCATTCCAATGTGTGCTATTTGTGCACTCCTACTGACCGACTTAATATTGTACGTATATGGAACGGAACTCATACAGAACTTTCTTAGAGACAACAAGAAAAGAAACTTCTTGCAAAGTTGTTTAATTTACCCTTTCAGATATATCGATTATGTCCTGTAATTCAAAAATCCACATTTCAGTGTGTGCTTGCATCTCATCTGTTCTATTGAACTTGAGATACATAATACTATCGAAACTAGAAGGTCTACATCATATTTTGATCTTTTAATGGGCATTGACACATATAACGACTTCAAACTAGTATCTATGACAAACGTGATGATTTCAAAAAAATTGTTAACTTCCCATTTCTCAGAAGAAACATATTCTGTACTATTGGCCTTTACATATCTCAGTTGTTATGTTATGCTCGGGCATGATTCAACTATACGGAATTCATTAACATGGTTTTCTCTTTATATAGAAATTATCAGAGTTATGAGGAGCAACGACTGAAATCGACACTTTATAAGTTTTACGATAACCATCACTAATTGGTTAACCGATACGATGTGTCTGTGTCTCAACTCACAAACGACATGTGTTCGCGTCTTAGAACTCTATAGGATGCCAGAGTGATAAGCTGATATGGGATTTTTCCGACAATTTGACTGAGTGTGGATTCGTATGATGGTGATGTATGCATAGCAGGAGAGGCTGACCTTGTCGACGACACCGGTCTTGCTTCATTTCTAGTTCTTGCAAGTCCCTCCGTTTTTACTTTTAACCTTGATTTGTTTCTTCTTAATTGATTTACGAGATTTGAATATCGGTTAACTACTGTTCCCTTAATTTATACTAAATGAACAGAAGTACAGTTTCCCTCCGACTAACATATCAACCAGTATACATCCAACTGATTAAGGGTATAGACTAAATGAGGTTTGTAACAAGCAAGAACTGGATAAGTTTTGTATCAAGCAAGAACTGGATGAGTTTTGTAACAAGCAAGAACTTGATGAGTTTTGTAACAAGCAAGAACTTGATGAGTTTTGTAACAAGAAAGAACTTGATGAGTTTTTGTAAAAAGCAAGAACTTGATGAGTTTTGTAACAAGCAAGACCTTGATGAGTTTTGTAACAAGCAAGAACTTGTTGTATTTTGTAACAAGCAAGAACTTGATGAGTTTTGTAACAAGCAAGAACTTGATGAGTTCTTGTAAAAAGCAAGAACTTGATGAGTTTTGTAACAAGCAAGACTTTGATGAGTTTTGTAACAAGCAAGAACTTGATGAGTTTTGTAACAAGCAAGAACTTGTTGTATTTTGTAACAAGCAAGACCTTGATGAGTTTTGTAACAAACAAGCACTTGTTGTATTTTGTAACAAGCAAGATTTGATTAATAAAATGGTTACGTTCTTTAAAAAAAACCGAATAAAGACGTCGTCAACAATATGAAAAAGCATGATCCTGTTTAATGCCGTAATATAAGTATGGAGAGGATGTAGAACCATAAGTGTCCATAAGTCAGTGGCGGATTTCTACAACATTGTAGATCGAATGATTAGCAGTTAACAATAAATTACATATTAGTTAAAAAGTGATTAGAAACTAGTGAAAAATACCCGCTAAGAATTCGAGCATTAAAGTTGAAAATAGTGAATGAAAATGTACGGTACTGACACTATTCAGTCATAAATCATAGGGTACACATTATCATAACACTATAATGTGAGCAGATGTGGCCAACCGATCGATCAACAGAACTATAATATTTCCAATATTCACAAATTCGGATCACATATTATCACTTATTCCACAAACCTTGTTTAACTGTACTAGGGTTTAAATACAGGTTGCACATAAAATGAATTCGTAAAACACATGCACATGGATGAAAAACTGAATATATAGTTATCTGTAAAATCCAATTTCAATACTGTACAGAAAGGAACAATGATATGTATATATTTATTAAAAAAATGTTTTATTGCTGTTTACACTGTATGCTGTTACATTTTGTTGTCATCGTTTCTTTTTTTATCAAGAAGCTTGAAATCATTGTTGTCATCATCGCGTGATCTTTCCTCTAGATCTTCTTCGGCTTCATTGTTGTCAACAACCCTGTAATGAATATTAACAACAAGGTTTAAAGTAATAAGCATCATTCAATTATCATTTTTGGAAAGCTAAGACAAATAATAAAATTACTAAGCAACTTCAAATGTCATATAAAAAGGGACATTCATATTGATATAGCATCCCAAAGACATAAAGGACATTCAGGCATTTAAAGGTCAGCATACTACCCCTAACATTAGAAATCTTTCTGTATGATATGATTAAAGTCTAGATTCCCAGAGTTTTTACTGAGACTATCAAACATCTACAACCAACGTCGAATGTTATAAACGTTAGAATATAACAGAAGACAAACACCGTACATGAATTTAAAAAAAAAATCATCCACCCTGTTTTAACTTTGATCAGTGGAATAGCAAAAGGAGAATTTTGTTGCTTTATGCAAGTTTACAGTACTGTTCTTACCTAAAGTAAACGTAATACTTTTATTACAAGAGAAACAATGAAAAAGAATGTTATTGATATTATTATTTTTCAATACTTTTACTAAAGGAGTAGGGCCACGAAGGGTTAAAAACGGCCCCGTCTCAGAAATTGACGAAATTACTGCAGAAGGATCACTTACTAGTGTAGTTCATAAAATGATAACCATTAGACTTGTAACTGTGTTTGTTTAATTTTCCAGGGCGTCAGAAAAGACTAAGGTACAATGGTATTTTATTCATTTGCGCGTAACGTTTAAATTGTTTTCATTAACGTTCTAGTAACTTTATAATCATTTTACCACACGAATTTTTATACAAAATATTTCTTGAATCTCGTCCATATATCTTTTTTTTTTTTAACTCTATTAACAGAAACTTACTAATATTAAGGTTTAAGCTGCAAAAAGCGCTTCAATTAAATTTTGTATAAGTGGCCCGGATACTCGTTTTCTGTATTGATATTCACGAAATAGAAATTGCAGAGACTATGTAAACAAACATAATTCTATAGCATAGATTAAATTAAAAGTCATAAAGGATTTTAAAAGATAAGCAATGAATGTCTTCTATTGGGCAGAAGGTATTTAGATTGAAAGCTGTAAAATATCTTGGCCAGCAAAGTACAGTCGTAAAAAAGTATGAGGATAGTTGATCACACCACATCATCTTATTTGTATACGGAAAGAAAACCGTGATTCACTTAAACATAGAAAATTTTATTTTCAAGTAAAGAAGTTAAACATGAAAACACAGATAAGGATAAACATTGTGTATAGAAATTACATAGCATTACATGTACTTCAATAATCATAAAATACATCGTAATTGTACAAAAGTAATCAGACACCATAACCACACGAGCACTCATAAACATCATTCTCATTCCGGAGGTTTACATGCTTACTCTCAAAGCAACATTCAGAATTAAACACTTGAATGAACAATAGTTTCTTATAATACTGCCATTTATACGTCACTGACCACATTATATAGTACTGCTATCTCGAATTGTACCTCAAGCGCATGAAATATGTAGTCATCTGTAAAAATTGAAATATAATTCTTTCAAATGGTTCAATAAATCCTTTTTAAATTTTCCCGGAACTGTTTTGCTAGATAAAGTAATAGTTTAAAGGCAGTGGCTATTTTGCCGGCGCCGCCAAAATTAAAAATATGCTATTTTGCCAACTTTCGTTAAGCGGAAGCCAGCATGCCAGTAAAAAAAAATTGTGTTTACAGATATGCAATTCAAAACTGACTATTATTTCAAAACTAAATTTAATTTAAACATTTTTGATTTTGAAGCTATGTGATTGATATTTTTAGACTGTATAACGTTTTTATCAATTCGATTTGCCGTGATATTTTAGTCTTTCATTTTTTTTTAAAGCATAGTTTAAAAATCTGCGATTTTATTCTTATGCATTCGTGTAGTATTAGACTGATTTTAGAAATAATTTCAACTACATGTTTTGATATGATTTCATTGCTACAAATGGATGCTCAATAGTTTTTATTTTTATTCCTTTTTACAAATTTGGACTTATAAATGTTTTTATACGATTTTATGTATCTCAAATATTGTGACATTTATCTTATTCACTCTTTACAAAGAACCGGCAAAAAAAACAAATTCACTGTATTGCCGGCGCCGACAAAATAGTCATTGCTATCGAAATATGCTATTTTGCTTGTTTTAATTAAGATATTTTCATTAAGGACGACAAAATAGCAAAAAAGATTTTTTTTGTTCAATCATTAATGAAAGTGAAATAGTGAAATAATAATTCGCCTTTAGCAGCCAGTCTGGTTCATTTCTGTCAAAATAAGCGAAGAAACATCACTTATGAATTATTCACTTGCAAGTGGATAATTCGACCTCATTAAATCCATATTCAAGTGAAGTTCAATTGAACCCCTTAGCTAGAGATGGGTTACGCATGATCTAGGCGTGTTCAGGTATTAAAAGTAAAAGAATGTCGACATTGGAAGTGAGACAACCATTTGGTTGACTGATTCGATATACAAAAACTCATTCTTATACAGGTAAAAACGATTATTAAAATATTGATTTAACCTATAATTTCAAATGAAACAGACCTAGACAAATCCAATTGCACGAGTTTGCTATCTATTTATTTCTTTGTTTATGTTTAAATCGGGTAAGATGACCGTCGGCAGTCTTCAGAAGGTCGCCTCGATGGTTAATTAGATGGCGTCTAGACTAAACTACACACGAAATGTTGATACATACTATCGGGTCTATGCATCGTAAATTGTTTATTTTACACTTTTTTTTAATTTGAATATACGTGTTAGTATGTTATAAGTCGAATATGAGAATTTGAGTCAAATCGGTAAACATGAATTTGACAGCTAATGCCCCTTTAAGTTTTAAACTGCATTCTTTTATAAGGTTTTCACAATTGTCAATTTATTCTTATGTAGCTTTTATCTTGTAATCTTAAATACTCTTGTTCTTGGTTAAAGTGTTCCGGTATTCCACATACATCTATCGTTCTTATCTCGAAAAAAGTTCGAGTGTACTTTATTATTATTTTTATTATCATTTGGTCAAATTAAACAAATTCATACCTCAATCCGTATGAAAAAAAGAAGATGTGATATTATTGCAAAGAAGATAACTTTCAACCAGATACCGAATGACTTGCCCATATGGATTTATTTTAAAACTAATAGATATCCATGGATTATCCCGATATCAGTTTTTTTTTATTTGGCGTTGATTGTAACGATATAAGTGTATGTAAGCTGCGTCCATTCAAGTAATTATTATCTTTAACTATAATTAATATACAAGATCAATTATTTTCGTCTATATTTAAAAAAGAGATGTGGTATGATTGCCAATGAGACAACTCCACACAATGTTTGCTTTCTTTAAAGTGAAATGAAATGTAAACTATTTCTCATGGATATGTTATATTAACCGGTAAACATGTTTTAAGAGTTTTCAAAAAACTTGCTTAGTTGCAAAAAGTACGATACAAACAAATAGGTTTCAAAAAAATGTGCAAGAGGAGTACTGGGATAAACGTCAATGTGACAGCTACCTAACAATGATTAAATTAATATGCTATAATACTTTTTTCAACTGCACTCTGCTCACTGTCACTTTCGTCCATGGCATGTGGGATAAATGCTGCATCTTCAAGAGAAGCTCCTCACTTCTGTACTCCATGTGTGATGTCCAGATTATGTCTTTATACCCTAGATACCAGAGTCTAGAGGCAATCTGTGCAAATCAACATGTTCTCGTCTGGAATATGCATCTAACATGCCGCTGGACGTGAAACAGTCATCCATCATCATGAGACAAACAACTCATGTAGTAAAATGGTGTGTTTCTTTGATATTCAATATTCTTTTTTTTTTTCTTTTTCCCCAAAAAGTGAATTAATAGACGCGTAAATATCTTCTCAAAATATTTTAAAATCTTTAATCATTTATTTAATTATGTTTAAAGTCATTGTTGTACTGTAACTTTAGAGGAGATATGATTGATAGTTGTTTGACGTCCAGTGGAAAATACTTCATACATATTTATGACGGAGAGAAATTTAGAGAATCTATTTCAAACAGGAAACAAGAAATTGCATGTGTTGTCATTGAACATAAGAGAAAATTCTCCAAAAGGGGGGAAAAGGGGGGGGGCAATAAAGAATCACATGACCAATAAAATAATACAACACCATGAACATATAGTGGCGACAAAAAAAGGGGAATAAAAATATAAAAACAGGTAACTACAGATTGTACACGAACCTCGGGCCATCACAAGAAACGAAAAAATCAGAAATATAAAGATATCTCATAGATAATTTATTCATAGTAGGCAGCCATTCTTGTTGGTCGCTTGTAACATAGTCTCACTCAACTTTAAATGACACCACCAAAAAGAGACCAAATAAACAATTGCTCCTTGTATGCATTCTGACCAATTATGCACGCTATCACGCGTAAATATCACATATCTATTTGAAGTTACCAAAGCGATATAATTGTGTCGGATAGTTTTGTTTCATCTTTATTTCAGTTTTCATTGAAAACAAATATTTGTTCTGGATGAATGTCACGGACAGTATACACCATGCCCTCTCATGGCGTCGTAATTTTTATTTTAATTAAAGAAATATTTAAAAGCTTAGTTAACCACTGTGCAATATGATATCAAAATTCTCACGTGATTAAATTTCTTCTTATGTCCTACGATTTTCTATGTATGTTAATGTTCATAGTTCTGTAATTTATTTACACTTTCCGTAGTAATTATTTAAAATGTTAACTTGGCATGCCATACATGATAGAAAATGCGGACGTGAAAGAAAGCACTTCATCAACGCGTCAACATGAGATTACATTCCGCGGCGGTTACATTTCGACGATTTCGTCTTTCTAAAAGGAAATTTGAATTAGATTTTTTATGTTGACACCCATATCGATCTCTTGGATATAGAATTTTACGGAAAAAAACTACGGCTCTAATTTAAAACTGTCATATTTTTGTTTGCATAGCACAGACCGGGTTAATTATTACAAAATAACGTGGAAATGATCTTTTAAATAATTTGCAAGTTCGTAATTTTTATTTCCACCAATTTAATTGTCTTGTTTTCTAATGAAAACAGTTATGTAGACGAATCTATCCATGTTTAAAAACCTCGCCGGATCGGCGGTTAACGAAGCTATAAACTTTTGAACAAAGACTTGTTATTCCATTTTCTTTTTTTTGTTTGTTATAAATAAGAAAATAATAAATTATAGAATTTATTCTATTTATAGCAATTGTACATGTTCTTGGTACAGTTATTTTACGTCTCAGAATCTATCGTACTTCGGAAATGGCGGCGTTGAATCAGGATTTGCTTATTACTAATGTTAGCAAAAAGTAAATTTTTGATGTGGCCACAGGCCTCGACCACGCTAAATATTGTTGCAAACTTAGTCAAAGTGTCAAACAATCAAAATAAGAGTAAAATTACTTTGGTCGAGGCCTGTGGCCAATGCGAAATTTAACCAGGAAGTGTGAATTTCTTTAAGATTTGGACATTTTGAGCGTTCCGGTTTTATTCCGGGTATTACGTCACATTAATGACGTCACAAAAATATGGTTTTATACTATAAGAACAAATAACGATATACGTAGATATCTTTTAGCTATAAAGGATCCACCTTATTTCTCTTTTATTTTTTATCACCTCACAGGGCCAATATCGGCACTTCGTGGCCATACTCCTTTATGGACAAATATAAGTATTTGATTTTGAACGGTGATTTTATTTGTTTTGGTAGGAATTTGATGATATCGGGATTTACCAAATCGGGCATAACATATGATTTTTATTATTATTGACGTCATCAACGTAACGTAGCTAGTAGATGTGACAACAGCTAAGACTTTCTGTGTGAAAAGTATACGAAGATTCTTTAGAGGGACAAGAAATGTCTCACACGGAAGAATGATAGACAACACCATATAAAAGAGGATAAGACAGTCTATATAAAGCTACATAAATAACTAAAATTTAAGCAACATGAACTCCGAAAACCTAAACCGAGGATGCACTCAGATTTTTCTGAAGGGCAAGCAGCTTCTCGACAAAGGAATTCTCGACACTTGGAATTTTCCCTGGTAACACAGTTGCTTCAACTGTAGAAAAATAGCTGAAAACAGGAACGAGTAATTGATAAAACATTTACACGTTTCTTTTGATAACTTCTGTCACCTTTTTACAAAAAAAAAAATAACTAAGAGGTAATTAATGATAACAAGGTCCTATTTTTCTCAAAAAGAAAAAGCTTTAATTACAGACGTTAGCAAAATAACAAACAAAGAACTGATATATGTAATGCTAGAATGTTTACCTTCCTAACTTCGCAGCATCTTCAACAGTATCTGGTAAGATGGTATCCTTAGTTTCAGGCAAAAACACACAAAGAATACCAGCTGTCAGTCCTACAGCACCAAATATAATAATTGGTAAGGCACGTCCAAACTTCGTATCAAGCAATAACCCCTACAAAGATCAAAATTATAACAATGTAAAATTGAAATTTGTTTTTACATATTATCATTGATATTCTTAAATTTAAACTGTATGAAATAAAACATTCTTGTCTGTAATTTTTTGTCAGGTGAAATTGTTCTTTATTTATTCATTTATCGTTTTATCCTGATTTTCTACTATGCAACTGCCGTAAACTCAAATTTTATTGAAAAGAGACAAAATGTGAAACAAAAGGTTGGCTATAAATGAATCTTACTAAATCTCCAATATAAGAGGATGACATGGAACCAATTTTACCAGCTCCAGAACAGAGGCTTAGAAAGAATCCACGGGTAACAGTTGGAGCTACCTCTGCAGTGTAAAGATATAACAGTAAAAATGCTCCATTAAAAGTTAACTTCCCAAGCATAAACATTGCTACTAACAGGAAATGCAAAGCTGTAAAAGATGTAAAAAAATTAAAAACGATCGATACTGTTACAAATACACCTAACTTAAACATATATTCTTAGATAACCATGTATGTTCTGACTACTTTATGGGAAATTGTCTTTACCAATCCTCATGGGAACTCATGGTTAATTTTTCTTCCGAATAAAAGAAGTAGGTTTAAGCAATTTTCACAGCGCACACAATCTCTGAAGTGCATCACACTCATCGTAGTGCCAATTAAGAATACAGAAGTGTGTATTATTGTTTTTTTGAAAATAAACTTGTTGAATTATGTTTTTTTTTCACATAGAAATGATATTTGGATAAAATATCGATGATTTAATCGTTCAATGTAAAAAAAAAAACAAACACGAAAAGACGGCCAACTTATTTTTTTACAGCAAAACAACAATAAGGGAAACCCAATTGTTATTTAGATTCCAATGAAGGATAAATTTTCAATTCATAAATTTCTGCCTGATGGATTTTTCTGTAGTGACATAATTGTGATTAATTCTTAAACTTTGTGATAAAAGTGATGACTTCAACTTTCCAACCGTTACTATGAATATTCCATATTTTTTTTGCCATGATTTCAACAGTCCCTGGAAATGGAGTATATATCACCAATGTGATACGATATTCATTATCTTACGTTTTCTATCGTGATTTTCTTCATAGGGGTTGCTTCTTACAATGAAATTACTGAGCCAAAGTTCTTAGTAGAAAAGTTAAAATCATTTCATCAAAAGTTATGCATATCATTGGTGATTTGTTATATTTTCCATTTCTCCCTCCTTCATGGTTTATCTCCGAATGACTAGTATCACCGATTTTTAATCATCATGTGCAACCGAACCTGTTCCACTAGTTTGCTGAAACTGTTCTGATGCTTTAGCTTTCTGTATTATTTTTTCAATATTTTATTTCACAACGTCTGTGTTTTAATATTGGTCTTGGCTTACTGAATTCTTCCTGAAAACTTAATTTTTCTTATTTCTAAAATTTGTACTATTTGGTTCTGTTTTAAAATTAGAGAGTTTTCATGTATCGATAGTTTATGTATGTTGGTAGTATTTTAAGGTTAGACAAGCAAAAAATGCTTTCAGCTATGAAACGAAGCATGAACACCCACTAGTACATATTGGATTTCAATATAAGTAATATGAAGGGCGTTACTATTCGAGCAGAAATTGCTAACCTTTCGGAGCATCTGAGATAATACCAAATGTTGATAGATTTCGTTTGAATTTGTTCATAAAGCTCAATATGCATGTAAGTTGTGGTACTTTTTTAACATTTACTTACATTTTTGTCCAAACAATGAAGGTAATAAAGTTAACAAACAACCTATTCCACCAACAATCATATAAAACATGTACAGCCTGTTCCGACCAATTTTATATGAAGCAAACAAACAGACGATCTCTCCAAGAAAACCAACGGTGACTGAAATGGCCACGTTGACGTAAACGTCACCTCCAAGCTTGCCGACATTCATGGTAATACCATAATACGCTAAATTCACAGCAAACCTGACAACGATAAGGGTAAAGGTGAATTAAGATACATATATTATTATTTAAATCAAATTATTACAAACGCAGCCTCATCACCACCCTTTCTTCAATGCAATATGTAGTCTTTCTTGACATTGTGTAGTGAATGCATCTCTTTACCAAAAAAGTTTCATTGTAAGGGTTTTAAACAAATTAATCAGAAAATGTTTGTTGAATATGATATGTTGATCCCTTTAGCTGCGGCCTATTGATTGTTCGCAGTAGGAACAAACATGTTCAGAGCACTAAATTCACAAAATATTGAAATAGTTCAATAAGAATATAATAAAGTATGACATTAAAAGTCATAAATCTCCTTTTTCCTTCTCGTTAAAATATCAAACCGTTCTTTGTTGATTTGGGACGGTTTCAATAAATCATCGTTCTTAATTTGGTGATGAGGGAATGCATTGTATCAGATATTTTTGTTAGAAAAAAATGGGTTGAATGTTATACAAATGTTCAGCACGAAAGTTAACATTTTCACAGTTAAACAAGACGAGTAAATAATGTCAATAAGTTAAACATAGTACATTTAGTGTCGTCATCTTAACACAAATTGAATTAAAGTCAACTTCCGAAAAATTATATCTTCAATGACGTTCAACAACATTTATGAAAGCGGGATCAATATACCTGTATTTATACATCAGACCGTACTGCACTGGTTACCGGAATTTAAGCTACACCAAACCAGGCACTTTATATCTGAGAAACAGGCTATATATGCCCTCAATTTTAGAATTTATTCATACATTTTTGTTTTTTTTTTATTATATAAAACTAAACAACGATGAAGGTTCAGGACTATGCATGTGGTAAAAACTCACCAAAGATACAAGGCTTGTAATTATAAACGCCAGGCATGAGATTTGTCAATTAAGGCGCTTGAATCTATACAATTTGAAGGTCAATGAAGTTCGAATTTGATAAGCATTGAAAATCAAAAATTCCAAAAACTGTTCCAATTCTGCCTAAGGCTTTATATGCTTGGGATTAAAAAAAAACTTAAGTGTTTTAGATGATTTTTCAGTTTTATTCACAGTACAATTACAGAAAATAACCGTATCAAAAAATATTTCATACGTCTGTGTTGTTTAATCGGTCAGCATAGGAGCACTGATTACTTGGCTTGTAATAACCTTGAAAAGTATTTGTGTCATGTTTAGAAATTTAATGTTCACAAACTTTTTTTTTAAACTTACCAATTAAATAATAAAATGCATGTTCGAATAAACAATTGTTTAGATGTAATCAAAATTTTCACGGATTTCGAGAAGGAGGTTTGGTGCTTCTTATCTATTATACAAGCTATGCTGTCAGTATCATATTGAACTTTAGCTCCGTTAACATCAGCCATTTTATTTAGCATCTTGACTGCTTTAGATAATTTTTTCTTTACAATTAACCATCTAGGAGATTCCGGAATAACACTGAAATATGACAAAATATGTTTTTACATTTTCAAGGCATCTTTATATGACAGTGCCAACCAATATTTCATCAATTATTATAGGTTGTACTTCTGTAAATATAGACAATTCAATTTCCCAAAAGGAACTCCTTTTACGGATAATACTGTGCCATTTTTACTATGAAGTTTCCTAAAAAATTATATCCTAGAATGGAAAGTTCATTTGCACTACTAATTTTTCAAAGGTCAAATCATAGGGCTGTGCGGCATATTTTAAACATATATATGCCGGAACTTCTAAGTTTAAATTTATACTTGGGTCTCCCTCAGAATTCAATAGGCGGCTATCCATGTGTATCTATACTGGTAATATTCCCAAGTTATGTTTGTATGAGATGAAACATAAAGATCATATCTTAGGAACCAGTACCTAAATAAAACAAAATATCTATGACTATTATATATCTCCCCAAAAGAGGCGTGGTTTGTGAAACAGCTGTATTTACAAAGTGCATCGTCGTAAATTACTGTGGGGCACTCACCGCCGTCTTCATTTAGTTGATAGCTGCAAAATGCTGATAAAGAATAAATTAATAAAGCTTTTTGATAAATAACCAACACAATCTTAAAAGACATATTTCGTACATATTTATGACATGAATAAGTCTGACAAAAAACATGCTTTTGGAATAATCAGAAATATCAAATCTTTAATTCTCGAGAGACTGTGACTTAACATATATATCTTTTAATTTGCCAAACTGGTTCTAAAGAGGTTGTGTTGTTAAAATATACCAAACTTTCCATTTCGAATTTTGAAATGTAAAAGACCACACAGAAAAAAATAAAATTTTATCGATATAAATTCAATGTCAGGACATCGTCAGAACTTCGAAAAAATATATAGATATTTAAGTCAATATTAAATTTTTCGTTCTTCTTGGACAAAAGAATCAGCACATCAGAATAAAACCTAAAAGTAGAATCCAGAAGTTTATTTAGAAAAGGCTGAATTATAAGAAAAACAAAAAACCAGTTTGAATCCATGCTACAAGTTCATATATAAACAACAAATGAATTTGTAAAATATGATATACTAGTAGTTTGCATCTCTATGATTTTGTGTAAGCCTATAATATATAGTGCGTTTTGTTTGTTTTGAATTTGATTTGTTTTTATTACTTTTTTTCTTTTTAATGCTGTAAAATTTCGTTACTACTTGATTCTCAACTTTTTATTTGAGTATACTGATGAGTCAAATGTAGACAAAACGGGCGTCTTTCAGACTTAATCACTATAAAATTAGAAGAAGTGGTATAATTATCAATGAGACAGCTCTCCACCAGAGACCTAATGGCGTAGAAGTTAGCAACTATAGGTCACTATACGGCCTTCAACCTGAAATCTTTTTTGTACAATAACCAAACATCATGACGATATATCAAACTCGAAATAAACCCTTGTATAGACAAGTTATAAGCAACTATCACAAATGGGGGGGGGGGGGGGGGGGGGGGTATACATATACTTGTTCCTCGTCCTTTCTACGTCAATTATTAAAGATTGTTGGAGAATATATGATTTGGACCCTTTAAAATTTGAAATAAAAACCTTCTATAAAATCTTTTGTTGCAAACTAGACGTTTAACAAACAAGAATCAATCAAAAATACAAAGTGACAATATTGTCTTTATATAATGTTTTCCCCTTTTGTAAGATCACAAAGGGGATAACAATATTTTCTATATAAAAAACAATCAAATTAGAATATAGATCTCTGATTTCGTTATGTTCATAAGAATAAGCTAACTACGATAGCTCGTCATATATATTTGAGTATACTGATGAGTCTAATGTAGACAAAACGGCCTGAAAAATGTCTCCCCGCTGACAAGCCGGTTTAAATATCTAGTAGTAGCAAAGTAAATGATGCGGTAATTTATTACATGACTGCATATTGTTTAGATGCTGAAGTAATGATTATGACAATGAATTTCCATTTATGAAGAGATATTGTAGACTTTGGCACTATTCATAAAGAATAATTCCAGAGTTTGACACTATGCTTCAATGTTTATAAAACAAAAAGTCAACAGTTTTTATATATTTTTTCCATATCAAAACCTTCTTTTTAGTTAAATTGTTCAGCAGATATCAAATATATTTCAAATAATCAAACTTTGATAGTTTAGAATTAGAACTTTTTCAATCAATAACACTTTACGCCATGAAATTCGATTAAACTAAAACCGTTTTACAAGCCGTGGACTATACAACGCTCATGGTACATTTTCAGGTACCTGCAAGTTTACTTCGATATGGGCAGAAACTGATGCTTGATAATATTAGACAATGACGTCACTAAAATGCACGCGACTTCATTCATGCAGCCAAACAACTATCACAACGTTTTGAACTCGTAAAAGTAGATTTTTTTACAAATTCAATGTATTTCATATTCTCAACCAAAAACACATTTTGTTAAGACAAATTGCCGATGGCATTTTATTTTCTGATACTGACTTACTGATACTGAACTCGAATATGAACTCGCCCTGACGGGCTCGCTTGATATTCTCACTAATAAAGTCAGTATGGAATCTTTTCTATTGTTGAAGACAGTAAAGTTGACCTCTGGATGTCTTTTGTATTTCTGACGTTTTCTTTATATTTATAATTTAAAATTGCAAGATTTGTTTACATTATCATTTTGAACGCAACAGCAAAATTTTAAGAGTATGAACGAAAACCAGATTGTTGTTTATGATGGAATCTTTGAAAATGAGATCAAATATGAAAGTCACAAAAATCTGAATAAATTGAAAAAGTTCTAAATAGACAATAAACCACAAACATATGATCAGATTAATACAATTACATCATTGAAAAAGTGTTTCCACTTAACATTCACTACAGTCGCCGAAGGAATGGCTTCGAGTGAAAAATTTGATGACGTTTAAACATTAAAACTTGCAGACTATATAAGGTATATGAGATTCGATAAAAACCAAAACAGTTCAGTCATATACATTTACTTAGTAATTGATGATTATAATGCAAAAAAAAAGAAGAGATGAAGTGTATGCATCAATGAAAAATCAACCCTAGAACCAGTAAAGACGTGTTGCTGTCAACATATAATCTTTAAAAAATGTCCGTTCATATATTAAAATTTAAGTTATACTATATTAAATAAAGTGATATGGTATAATTGTCAATGAAATAACTATCAACAAGAGTCTATAATACTGGTATGTAAACAAATATAATTCATCTTACAGCCTTCCACAATGAGCAAACTCCATATTGTAAAATAAGCTATACACGCATGACAAAATAGGTAACATTTCAAAAGAGAAAACCAACGACCTGATAAATGTTTTAACAATAAACAAACCACAAAAAACAAATATGACAGAGAGTAACCACCGACAATTACTAAATTGCAGGCTTCTGACTTTGAGGGCGCATAAAGAATATGGCGGGTTAAACGTATTTGTGATCTCACAATCCTCCTCTTAAATCAAACAATGGTGTAACAGCACAACATAAAAACCAACTAATAAAGTAAAGTTGGAAAGGGATTGACACATCAGAACGGTACGAAGCACTTTAAAGCTTATAACCAATAGACATAAACACAAACAACATATTATGGCGTACTCGCAGTTACTGAAAGCTAGTTCTATGCCTATTCAAGCTAATAAATTAAACCATGTTTCCAAGACTAGTCAAGTTGTGAATAAATTTCAAGGGAACTACTTAATTCTTCGAGAGAACAAAAATACTTCGACATTAACAAAGAATTGTACAGACGAGGCTGTTGACCTTGAAGAGTACCAATAATAAGTTGCATTTTTTTTCAGGTTTAATCATCCACTTGATCAATAGAATATAATAATATACATAAAAAAATGATCCAAAAATTAAAACAAAGGGGGTCATATGATCAAACGGGGCCTTAAAAAGCAGACCCTTCTAAAATCAACTATACCTGAGAGGGAGTTGGAACCTTAGTTTTTTTAATAACCTATTAACGACGAATTAAATTTCAAAAGTAGTTGATAAACCATGTAAATACCAAAACACCGACTACTGAGCTAATGAGACCCTCGGGCACCAGAGTACAATAATTATTTAAAGGTGCATTATGAATTTATCTTTATTTGGTAATATCAATTATAAAGTACAGAAACTCTTATATTCTTGGTTTTCCAGTATGAGGTATGAGCGTTCCTGATGAAGTAAAATCCAGAAAAGCGCGTCGGAGGCAACAAATTTATATTAAAAACTAACATGATATGTTCAGTCCAATATGATCAGAATTTCATACTACTATGAACGAAAGATGATGGATAAGCATGATTAGATTATAGGGATGAACTGAGTATTCAAAAATGTATTGAAAATAAGAACATGTTGGGTAAATGTTATTGCGTGAGCAACTCATCAATATCATTAACGAATGTCATTTCTGTGATCATACGGTCTTCATTAATAAGCAATTGTCCATACTGTATGGTAAGCTCTTAATTGTCTCAGTTTAGAAAGATAATTTGAAAGACACATCCGACAATCTGTCATTAACACATTGTTAAAATGTGTAATTCTTGCAAGGAAGACGTTTGTCGCTTGTAGTCTGCAAATAATATAAGCAGAAAAGCCTGTCCCCTTTTAGAAATGGAAACCATAAAAATTACCGGGAGCAAAATTTAAATAGCAGGTGGATAATTGCATGTTATGTAGGAGAATGTTTGCTGGAATTCTCCGGAGCTGTTTTCATGGAGTCATATATTAACATTCTGACATAAGTATCAGTCAGTTCACAATCTGACCCGATTCGAAAAGAATAACTACGTCAATTCTTTAACATTTTGCCTAATGTTGGGCCTAATCCTTAACTATACGGATCGTAAAACACTAATTGTCAGAATGCGTATCTGGTGCAGTGATATTGGTACCGTTAAATTTATTATGGATTAAGCCTAACGTTGTTTTGGTTATATCGTAAACATGTTTAATATTTTTATCGTGTACTCACAACCAAGACAGTAAGTTTAATCCAATAGGAGCTGATGTATATAACACTAAGTCATGCCAGTCTCTAGCAAAGTATGCTATCAAATCCAATATATATGCACCACTCATGTAAATCCAAGAAATCGCACATCCCACAATCATTCTTTTTGATGGTTTGACCATTTCTATCACTAAAAGACAGTTATTTAAAAATGTAGGTATACGGGAATTAGAATATGTAGGTACCCACCATAAAATGCATTTAATTTTTTTTTTTTTTTTTTTTTTTTTTTTTTTCAATACACGTCAGTGTATTTGCGCTAGTTTGCTTGTGCTTACGTGTACTTCAAATCCTTTATTCATGTGTTAAAATGTTTTTGTTGCTGCTTTAAATCATCAAAATTTTACAAAATTACGCATTATTTCAATTGGTTTTTTTTACAAAATCATAATTTATTTCTCCCAGATAGGCATGGGGTCTCCCTTTTTTGTTATTTGTAGACATTTTCATTTTGCACCATTTGATTGCTCATACTGCATTTATTCATTATACAACGACTTTCAAAATTGTGTCGTTGAAATCAAAATAAATCATTTGAAAGGTTAGTATTATCTAACATTCGTTTATATATTTCCATCTATATTTTGAAAATGAATGGGATCTATGCATTCCTATTTTTATTGAATATAGATATTGTACTTGTTTTGAAGTATATTATCATTCATAATTTGTGACAGTTATTCTAAGACAGTGCAAAATAGCCAATTGAAAAATGTATAGGTTTAATAACTTTTTCAAAGTGCTTTTAAAAATGCACAAATATGATCCATATCAGATAACTTTTTTATCAAATAAATTAGGATAACTTTCAGGAATTTAATAGCAGCATAAACTTTACTTACAACTTGCTTGATTTATAACATAGATTTATTACATTTTCCTGTCGTAAATTGGAAAATTATTAAGAAACTGAGTTTGCAACTCCTTAAAATAAAGTTGCATCATATGGTTTTAGCTGTTCTCTCTAGGATCATAACTCTTCATGTAGTTATACATTCCCGACTTTCATTTCCATGTCGTCCCTAATGAAGGTATATCCAGAAAAGCGCTTCGGACACACCAAATTTATCAAGTGAATATTTCATTTAAACTTACGGTATTTCTGATCACATAAAAAATTAAAGTTGCATTCAAGTTTAAAATCAAATTATCAATGACATTTGACACAAAAGTTGAATGAAAAAGGTATTTTTTTAATTTCTTTTACCTAAGATGAATCCAGATACATACGAAACGATTCCACTAAGACCGTTCAAATATCTTAAGAACATTATAACATAATAGTTCTGTACCCATGGTAGAGCAATGTTTGCAGCAAATAAGCCAATGTTAGATAAACAAAATACCAGTTTCCGTCCAAATCTGTAAAACAATAATAACGTCAATAGATTAGTGTTTCTTGAAGAATGGATGGATGGAATGATTTTATCTATGATTTAATAGCCTTTGCATGCGATGCGCTTTGTATACATTTCAAGTATTCAGTTAAGTTATGATGAATTGGATTTATAATCATACGGTTTAGATACAGAATAAATAATATATTCATGTGTCAGAATTAATCAATATTATTGCAATGACAATAAAAAAAAAACTCTATGTACATATAACTCTTTAATGGAAGTTCTCATGGATTGTTCAAAAATCGTGTTTTCAACTAGAACACGACAAATTGCACCAATATTAGAGTGTAGGACAGCATGATAACATATCATTTCTTTTCAATGTTTGTCAATTCCCACATTACAGCATCTTTATGTATCACAGTATTTGTTTCATAGTATTTAAGCTCAGTATTATTTATGTGAAATCAATTCTTTTCTGTGTTTGTCAATTTATACATTGAAGTATGTTTGTGTATCATAGTTTTTGTTTCATATTATTTGTATCATAGTATTAAATGAGCTTAGTATTATTTACGTGAAATCAATTTTTTTCAATGTTTGTCAATTTCCACATTAAAATATGTTTGTGTACCATAGTATTTGTATCATAGTATTAAATGAACTCAGTATTATTTATGTGAAATCAATTCTTTTCAATGTTTGTCAATTTCCACATAGCAGCATCTTTATGTATCACAGTATTTGTTTCATAGTATTAAATAAGCTCAGTATTAAATTATGTGAAATCAATTCTTTTCAGTGTTTGTCAATTTCCAAATTGAAGCATGTCTTTGTATCATAGTATCTGTTTGATAGTATTTGTATCATATTATTTAATTAGCTCAGTGTTATTTACTTGAAATCAATTCTTTTCAATGTTTGTCAATTTCCACATTGAAATATGTTTGTGTACCATAGTATTTGTTTCATAGTATTTGTATCATAGTATTAAATGAGCTTAGTATTATTTACGTGAAATCAATTCTTTTCAATGTTTGTCAATTTCCACATTGCAGCATGTTTGTGTATCACGGTATTTGTATCATAGTATTAAATAAGCCCAGTATTATTTATGTGAAATCAATTTCTTTTTAATGTTTGTCAATTTCCACATTGCAGCATGTTTGTGTATCACAGTATTTGTATCATAGTATTTGTATCATAGTATTTGTATCATAGTATTTAATGAGCCCAGTATTATTTATGTGAAATCAATTTCTTTTCAATGTTTGTCAATTTCCACATTGCAGCATGTTTGTGTTTCACAGTATTTATTTCATAATATCAAATGAGAGCAGCATTATTTACGTGACAGGTGATACTTTTATAGTTTAATTACTTACATGTCAGCAAACAAAGTGGTGATAATCATTCCCGAAAATGCCCCCACATGGTGTGCCATAACAAGATGACTGCGGTAGAACTTCCTGTCACATACCATATTAAACTAAACAAAATCAATAGAAATAATAGTTTTTCAAGAAAAATGTTTGGCATTAGTTCAAAATGGCAAGATACATTTGTAAGAAAACATGTTAGGATTGCATTGTTAGGTTGTTCAATTATTGAATTTATTCCGTCTTCTAGTTTCCCACCCCAACACAACCATTACCAAGTCAGTCAACAATTTTAATTTTATATATCATGATATACTTACCGAGAGTGAAAGATTTCTCCAAATTTTATTTTCTTCATATATTTCATAGATTTTAAAGTCGAAAGAGGAGACAGCTTGGATACTTGTTCAACGGAGAAGAAAATTTCTAGCAATATAACACACATGTTTTAATACGAAATCGCCATAATTTAATACACCATTGGTTAATGTTCACTGAATTGATACCACTTCTGGTGAACCATTTGTCGTCGAGGTCGTCACAAGCTCAGAAGTCAGGGCTTCAGCACTGACATTGTTAACCATATTTTACTAACTTTCCCTGATATTGATAAATTACGAAATTACGAAGAAACTCCATCAGGCAAAGTTGATCTTAGCTTATTTTGACTATTTTTTCGATGTTTCTTTCTTTCATTTAGCTCCTTGATTTTTTACGTATTTTTACATCCTTGGCTTTCAAATGTTTGGGTTAGGACGAACGACATTTATAAAGCGTTATTTTCATTTACATGTCCTTGGTCGATTTCACTGCCGTCGGACTGTTAGTTCCTGAGGCTATTATCAGTCAGTAGTCAGTGCATCGGTACTAACAAGATTTTTAACATATTTTTTCGAAACTTACCCGTTGATGATTTAAACTAGAGGCTCTAAAGAGCCTGTGTCGCTCGCCTTGGTATATGTGCATATTCAACAAAGGACACTCTCCAACATTGTAGACGAGAACATAATTCATGAAAAAAATCTCTGTTTTGTTGATCTTGTATTGCTGATCATTTAGTCTGTTTAGTTTATCTCTATCTTCTTTAGTTTTGGCTCAAATAACAAAAGAAGTTAAAACAAATCCTCATTTAAGGGCAATCACTCCTATAAAGAGTGACAGTCTACTAACTATATCGGCAAAAATTGACTTGTTAGTATATCTTGCCTTGCTGGTCAGTTTTGTGATTTAAAGTGTCTATTTATCTATACTACTACAATAACGAGGTCCAATTTGTTACCTGGCATGACGTACAAACGAAGAATCAAAGAATTCAACTTTATATATAACTAATATAGGACATTGGTGTTGTTTAAAAATTACACCATTCCAGGCCCTTTCGTTTACCACATAATTGATAGTACTAATAATTAACACGTTCTGGTTCGAATCCGATACCGATACCAATAGTATATGTCGCATGTAGTCTCTGGTTATCTGTTACCTACTGTTACCTTTTGTAAATCTCACCTCTATCAGGGGAACCTAGGAGTCTTCCAGTAGTTGTTTTATATCCATGTTACAGTTTCACTATAGTACACAATTTTTAAACAAGTCTGTTTCTTCCACCTTAATACCACTATTAATTTTGGTTAACTAGTTAAAAAAATCAAATTTAGCAACGCATAAAAATTGGTACAAATCGTCATCAAAGGGCAATAACTCTAATAAGGAGTCGACTGACGATTTCGTGAGACTTATTTGTAGAACTTGTCTTGCGGATCATTTTTGCATTTTGAAGTTTCTCTCTATCTATTTTAGTTTTCAAGATAATATGCAAAAATGTAAAAAATGGTAAAATTTGTAAATTAAGGGCAATAACTACTATAAAAAGTCGTCTGACAGTTTTGACGTATATAGACAACTGGTAGAGCACAACATTCTGAACATTTTTGCTCCGTCAGATTTTCTCTATTTATAACAGTTTTCAAAATAATAGAAAAAAACTTGCATTTTACCCCTATGTTCTATTTTTAGCCATGTCGTCCATCTTGGTTTGCAGATGGGGTCATCGGAAACGTATTTTAAACTAGATACCCAAATGATGATTGTGGCAAAGTTTGGTTAAATTTGGCCCAATAGTTTCAGAGGAGAAGATTTTTGTAAAAGTTAACGGACGACGACGACGACGACGGACAACGACGACGACGGACATCGGACGACGACGGACTACGGACGCAAAGTGATGAGAAAAGCTCACTTGGCCCGTTGGGGCAGGTGAGCTAAAAATTACCAAGGGACTAAGTTACGGACTCCCTCTAGCAAAGTTGACCTTAGCTGAATTTAACTATTCTTTTTATGTCCGTATATACAAACTCATCCATCCCTGCCCTTCAAATGTTTTGGTTTGAGCGTTGCCGATGAGCGTATGTCCAGAAAAGCGCTTCGGAAGCACAAAATTTATAGTGTTTTTGTTTCATTGTTTTGTTATTAATACGCTGGTGAACCGTCATTTTCGGATATTTTTATCGATTCAAATAATAGATATAGGAAGATGTGGTATGAGTGCCAATGAGACAACTCTCCATCCAAGTTACAATTTATAAAAGTAAACCATTATAGGTCAAGGTACGGCCTTCAACATGGAGCATTGGGTCACACCGAACAGCAAGCTATAAAGGGCCCCAAAAAATTACTAGTGTAAAACCATTCAAACAGAAAAACCAACGGTCTAATCTATATAAAAACGAGAAACGAGAAACACGTATGAACTACATAAACAGACGACAACTACTGTAATCAGATTCCTGACTTAGGACAGGTGCAAACATTTGCAGCGGGATTAAACGTTTTAATGGTATTAAACCTTCTCCCTTTTCTGAAACAATAGTACAACATCACAACATAGAAAAGCACACTATAAAATATCAATTGGAAGGCTTAACTTAATCAAAAAACGTAAATTAACACACAATAAACGAATAAATTTGACCTGTGACACCTGAATACAAATACACAGTTAATAAAAAATTACAAGGGATAAATAATTGAAGTCAAAAGTTCAAAAGTAAATAAACAGGTTTAAACAAAGTTAAAGTATGATATCACTGTGAAATGTCAAACAATTTTTAGAAAATCATCATTTTTGAAAAACAACCTGCGTCATATTATGCACAGGTAAATGAAAATAATTTTGTTGTTAAGTATACTTCTTCTGTGTGTATAAAATCTTCCGTTTAGGAATACCAAGAAATTTCTTTATACTAATAAAACTAATCTAACACTTGGTACATATGGGGTGAATATCAACAATAAAACTATACAATTAGTGCTAGATAAAACTTCCAGTACAGGTCCAAGAACAGCATCTAAGGAAAAATGAGATAATTCTGATGTTCATAGTACGAAGAAGTGAAAATTTGTAGTAATACCAAATAATCAAAGCTGGTATATAGACAAAATCCATGTTAACATTAAATAACAAAAAAGCATTACAAATAGTATCAACAGGTCAAATTAAAAAGAAAGTAAGATTTGAGAGTACTCGCAGTTACTGACAGCTAGTTAAAAGCCAAAACAATTAATAATAAAAAATCATGCATCAGAGACTAAAATACATTCCAGGGATTTAGTATTTTAACGTCATGAACAGTCAAAGAAGACATGACTTGTGCAATGCCAAAAATAAATGTATCGACAGGTAGTAGGATAGTAAGGAGTGACTTCTTTATAGATAAAATTGAACGTGTGTGTGTCTCTATACATCCCCTTTGAAAAGAAAATACAAATTTAGTTATGTTTTAATTTGCTAATGACAAAATTGATATTAGTGCCAATGTAAACTATATTCAGAGATCTAATTACAACATTGGTACGATAACCCTTACTAATAAGTTTGTTTAAAGGTTCGATGAGTTTACACGGATCACATAATGATTTCCGCGCTTTAAGTACAATATTACCATAACATTTAGAATGTGAAATACCATTTTTAATAAGTTTTCTACAGGTACAGCCAAATTTACTAATCAAATCTTTGTATCTATGAAAGAATTTAGTAAAAGTTTTAAGTAATTTATGGTAACGAAAAAAGCATTCAATGAGCCGCGAAGTTTTGTAAACATTACGGAGAAAATTAAAATTTCATATCAACATAATTTATGCACGAAATAACCTTTGTAAACCGTAGGGGCATTTATAAAAAGAAGGCTATCTTAATGTTTATGTACCTAAATCTGGTCGCTGAAGACAAGATTCAAATTGCTGTTATATTTTGTATTGTCTATCTTTAAATATTGCTATAGTGTCTGTATTTATATCTATATATTCCTTGTGTGGTTATAAATGAAATACTATTTTTTAAATTATATTTTATCGATAAGAATTATACTCAGACGGAAATGATTACTCAAACTTTTTTTTTCATATTAATTTTTTTATATATGGTTATTAATTTTTATTCCTATTTAATGACTTTTTTTTACTTCTGACCTGGAAAATCTGAAAATTGAACTAATTGACATATTTTCCTGGTTGTTTCATGTGAGTTTCGATAGACTGGAATTTTATAAAATTACTCTGGTGTTTTTGTTAGTCTAAATGCTAGTGAATCAAACTTTATAATTTCTTAGGTCTGTGTAGCAGTATATATGTGATAGTCTTCGAGTCCCTTTCTCCTGCATATTTAATACCACATTTATCCTCGATGATTAGAAGTTCGTTACCCTAACTCGAAACGGAAGAAAAAAATCACAACATAGGAGCAAATATTATCCACTGTGAATGTAAATATTCTTTACTTATTTGCAAACAGTCTGATACATTTAATTGATGAATAGCTTCAGAAACATGGTCAATCTTTCTGTGTTTCGTATTGTGACCCGATTCCGTAAAATAAGTAGACATGCTTGTAAGTTCGTGACCTTTGTCTTGGACGGTGGCTTTTGCGCATGTGCAACAATATATAGGTTAGGTATATTGTATTATGCATTTAAACATTACAGAATTAATTTGAGATCAAATAACAAATGAATATCTCGAAAAAAAAAGAGAGATTGGGACATACTAACTATATTATCCTTACAAAAACTATTCTTTTTTTTAAACGTGACTTTCAATGGTCAATTGGAAAATACAGAATTAAACATTTTAAACACGTTTGAGATAACTATATTGATGTCACAATGTCATTAATGCATCAAAGTATTTTTTCATTCAATTTGCATTCAATGGTATAGGATTAAATTACTATTATTCGGTTAAATAATTTACTGTTACCTTCATTCATGCAATTTTGGAAAGTGCTGAGTTTGAAGGGGCGTGAATTTTAATTTACATCAGTTGAATAAATATTTGAAATGTACTTTCTAAAGAACGTAGATATTCGTGACGTTGAGGATTGTTAACATAAAATAAGATGTTGTGTGAATCCCATTGAGACAAGTATCCACCAGAGTCTAAATGGTATGTCTGTTATCAACTATCAGTCATCGCATGGACTTTCAACGATAAACAAAACCCATACTGTATAGTCAGTTATAAAAGGCCCCGACATGACAAAATAGGAAAAATTCAAATAGAAAACCAACAACCTAATTTGGCGGAATTTTCTCTATTAATGCTCTTCAACTTCGTTTTTGATTATTCAATTTCCAATTATTTTGATGTGAGTGCTACTGGTGAGAATATATAGTCTGGTGTACCAAATTATATGTCTGGTATCTTTGATGAGTTTTTTTTATAAAACAATCAAACAAAAACCAATATGACATACAGCAACCAACGACAAAACGGTATCAAATTTACTGCACCTGATGCACGTTTCGACAATTAATGTCTCTTCAGTGATGTTCGGGGCTATCCTATTTGAAAATCCCACACTTTTATAAACGTTTACGAGCCGATAACACCATTCGATGCGACTGTCATACAAGTGAGAGGTTTAGCTAGCTATAAAACCAGGTTCAATCCACCATTTTCTTCATAAGAAAATGCCTGCATGTACCAAGTCAGGAATATGACAGTTGTTATCCATTTGTTTGATGTGTTTGAGCTTTTGATTTTGCCATTTGATTAGGGACTTTACTTTTTGAATTTTCCTCGGAGTTCAGTATTTTTGTGATTTTACTTTTTATCATACAACCACTGACTTGGTACAGGCATATTAGGAATATTGCGTGGTAAATGATGTTCTTGAGCGCTTAATCCTCCCCTTACCTTGGACAGCGATATAACAGCAAAACATACAATCAAACAGTTAACAAAATTTGGAAATGGCCGGATTCATCTGATCGGCACAAATCACAAACACAACTAACATAAAGACTAAAGACAAAAAGTACAATTCCAAGAGTACTCGCAGTTTCTTAAAGCTAGATAGGCAATAACAACTAAAATTAATCATGCTATCCGATACTTATGTATAAATCAGTACACATCCAACGGTTTTAGTGTAAAGACGTCATAAACATTCTAAAATAAGCATGACCTTGTACAATGCAAATATATATATATTTGGTATGGACAGGATGGAGGGTCATAAGTTTGTATAACTGTATAGCAGCACATATCTAGTTATGTTTTGTTTATCAAACACAAAATAATTATAAGTATTCAAATGTCTTACTACGGTGTTTAATTGATAACTGATAAGGATAATTGTATTCAAAGAATCAATAAGTAGACATGGATCGTATCTAAAATGACGAGTTCTATATACACCATTACTGTTACAATAAGGATGTGATACCTTGTTAGTGATAAGAATTCTACAAGTACAGTCTAACTTCCAAACACAATCTTGGTATCTATGATACAATTTTTAAAAGTTTTAAGTAATTTGTGGTCAGGAAATATTGAACTTCATAATTTACAAGGATAGAAGAAGGGTAACGTTCATTGAAATCTAAACTGTCACTACAGACACGAGCATAACAAACGAGTTGGGAAATATACACCGTAAACAGATACCAAAGGAATATCACGGTGACCATCAAAAAAGACAAATTAACAATAGGGAATGAAAAATCGTCACTTTTGTCGTCAACCTTTGTTATGTTAAGAGTTTCCCGTGAAAAACTAAAATATCATAATCTAGAAAAGGATAGTTATTGCCACTTCCCTTAGGTAAATTTCCGTAGTAAAGATTTAGAATTTTCAAATAGATTAAGTCTATCTCGACTTTGAAGTTACTTGCATCATATTAACCTTTTCCCTTTACTTGTTTCCGATTGTCTTGTGTGTATCTTCCTATTATATAAAGTGTTTCAACATCATTAGACACTTTAACCGTTTCTCCAAGGAGCGCAAAGGAGAAATGAATTTTATGCTTGACCTGATAAACAAACAAAGTTAACATAATTGTCCATTGTATACCATGTTAAACGTAGTTAACATATACGAATAGGCAATTACCGAGTGATGTTTGTCCAAAACTGAATATCAAGGAAGAGATTGTCATATGAAATAGATATAAGAAGATGTGGTATGAGGGCCAATGAGACAACTCTCCATCCAAGTCTCAATTTGTAAAAGTAAAGTCAATATTAAAGGTAAATCATTAAATCAAGCATACCGACGATATAAGGGTATCAGTGTAAACACTTTGATCGTACACCCAGCTATTGCAGGAATGTGTTGTCGAATTCATACTGTATGTACATTGTGTTACATTGTAGGTAGCGCCATCATCATCAAATGTCTGGTTGCTGAATCCAGGAATCCTACATCTACAACAATTTCAAGGCAACTATGAATATTTTCATCAAAAGGATCTTTGCCGTTTGAGGATTTGATAGGATGGTTCTTTAACAATATTGGAGTTAATTATGCCAAATGTGCTACACTTCTTGCCGAATTGTTCCTTTATTCATATGAGGCTGACTTCATAAAGGAACTTCTTAGGAAGAAAGAAAAGAAGTAAGCAGTATCTTTTAACTTCACTTCCCGCTATATAGATGATGTTCTCTAACTAAATAATTCAAAATTTGGTGACTATGTTGAACGCATCAATCCCATCGAACTTGAGATGAAGGATACAACAGATACAGTTAAGAATTCCTCATATCTTGACTTACATTAAGAAATTGACAATTAGGGTCGGTTGAAAACAAAATTCTACGTCAAAAGAGATGATTTAAGCTTCCCAATTGTGAACTTTTCATTTTTATGTAGCTACATTCCAGCAGCGCCTGCATACGGAGTATGTATCTCCCAATTTATACGATATTCCAGAGCTGTTTTTCCTATCATGATTTTCTTGATAGACGTTTGCTGCTCACAAGGAGGCTATTAAACTAAGAGTTCTAAATGTTGAAGTTGAAATCATCCCTTCGTAAATTTTTCAGACGTCATTACGAGTTGGTTGACCGTTATGGAATATTTGTTTCCCCAGATGACAGGATCTGTTTACCCTTCCGAAGCGCCTGAGATCACCCACAGTTTTTGGTGGGGTTAGTTTTGCTTAGTCTTAAGTTTTGTATGTTGTGATTTCTGTTCTGTTGTTTGTCTGTTTGTCTGTTGTCTTTTTTTTCTTGCCATGACGGTGTCAGTTTGTTTTCCGACTTATGGGTTTGAATGTCCCTTTGGTATCTTTTGCCTCTCTCTTGTGAATGAAAGGAGATGTTGGATTTTTGCCAATACTTTAGCAATGAAAGACACAAATTACCAAACAATGTATATGTGTCAACATACAGTCTTCAACAATAAACAAGTGTGAATAAAAGCTCGATTTCACCAAAGAAAAAAAAAAAAAAGTTAAGTCATTTGAACTGAGTCTGTCAAATATGTACCATGAACACGAAATTCTCTAAATAATTAAAATACTAAGATAGCGTAAATTGAGACCTCTATTTACACCTAGACAACTTCCAGCGTTGCCAGACTGACACGGTAACTGACAAGGGGCGGATACAGAATTTTTTTCAGGGGGGGAGGGGTCAATAAAACCAACTTTTAAAATATTTTGATTACTTTGACTGATATTTAGGTCATATTGGTAGTAACAAAACAATTGGTAAAAAAACTCATTATAGATATCAGGATTTATTTTTGTACGCCAGACGCGCGTTTTGTCTACAAAAGACTCATCAGTGACGCTCGAAACCAAAAAAGGCCAAATAAAGTACGAAGTTGAACAGCATTTAGGACCCAAAATTCCCCAAAAGTGTTGCCAAATACAGCTAAGCTAATCTATTCCTGGGGTAGACAATCCTTAGATTTTTGAAAAAGTTTTGTAAACAGTTAATTTAAAATTAAGACCATATTGATTCCTATATAGTTTTTCTTTGACCACCTCGGGGTTTTGTAGTTTCGTTATCGCTTCGAGTGCTGGACGTCATGGGTTCGATTCAAGGTGTCGATTCAAAGACTTGAAAATTGATATTTGCTACTTCTCCGCTAAACACTCGACATATACAATTAGGAGCAAATGAAATTGAGAATGTAGAATAAAGAAACACACAGACTGGTTGGCGGGTATGATGACATGTCTTCGTATGGACTGTTTCCTTGAGAACGGGTACGGATTTTATTCATATCACAATACAATGTTCACGAATATGCATTTAATTTGCCACTGGACGTTTAACAGTCGTCAATCATCATCATCATAATCATAATCATCATCATTTTGCTTTGACATCTGCGAGCAAACGTGAAAACGATCATATCAAGGTCTTAGTGTAAATCATAATGTATGTATTTATCCATTAGTCATTTATCGCCAATAATTGCACGTAAAAACATTTTCAGGAACATAAGCTTACTATTAAAATGGTCATCTCGCAACTGGTTATTATCTTGCAGACAATGTTAAGAATAACAAAGACGTTTTGATGGTCAAACTTGTTGCATTTTTGTATGCTTTCAGCTGTTGACTTTGGCAATGTCATTTTTCGTTTTTTTGCCAGAAATTCAACCACATTTTTTTACTTCGGAAGAAAGCCCACTAGTCTAAAAAAAAACAATAAGGTATTCGAGCAATCACATGTTAGGTACATTCAGGTTCGTCAGTGCTTAGATATGGGCTGATTTGGTTTTTTTTTCTACAGAAAAGAGACATAAATTTTAAACATTTTAAAAAGTCAAAATTTGATGGAAATTTCTAAAGGTAGGGATAGGATTTAGGATGTTAATAATAATCATAATGACAACCATTTGGATTTTATTATCACAGTAGCAAGAAAATAATGTTCAGGAATAGTAAATAACGTTAAATTAAACAAATTTAAATGTATAAAATTGAAAAACGAAAACATTTTAAAATTGACAATTTTCTCTTCATTTTTACACCTGTACATCAAAGGAACCGCTTTAGGCATTAACTGTCGGTGATTACAAATTTATTGTATAAAAATACATTTCAAAGGTTGTGTCTTCAACTATGCCAACATTTGAAAATTAATATTCAACCTCTGCCAACATTTGTTACGTGTATGTGCCAAAATTATATTTTAAGAAGACGTAGAAATTTTATTTATTGTAAATAGTACTTTATTTTACATTGTTTAATGTAGTATATCTATGAAATTTTATATTCTCTTATAATTCTGTATATTCTGGCTCTTATTTTATGTAGTATTGTTTTACAATTATGATTATCGATTGTACTTGTTGAGAGATGAGACTTCAATAAAACATTGAATTGAAAAATTTAAAAAAGATATATTCAGCCTGTGCCAACAAACATAATACGACAGTTGTTGTTATTACAATTAACAATTAATTACAGGTAAAGAACAGTCAGTATTTTTAAGCATTAAAATGACTCCTTTAAAATAAGAAAGAAATATAACATACTTGCAAAATTACATTATAAGTACGAAATTTAAAAAAAAGACAAAAATAATACAATAGAACACTAAATACTGTCAAGGTTCATATTTTTTGCATTAAGGTAAATCAATTGTATTGGAAATAGAACGACAATTATATTATCAGCAATAAACTAATTAGTAAATTAATCAAGATTTAAATTATACCCTATATGGTGCACCATTTTTGTCAACAGAAGGGGTGTCACATTTACCCGTTGACACCACCTGGATCTGCCTCTGCTGACCAGGATAATTATGCATATTTACACATGTACATATACTTCACATGTAAACTTACTTGTGTCTGTGTTCTCCAAGAATAAAATTTGAAATGTAAGACGTAAATGCATTTACTATCTGCATTATTGACACCAATATCATAACACGCATTTGGTATGTTCCAAATCCATATATTCTCTTAAGTATGTCTTCGTAATGAACACTCATGGCTGTATTTAGCGGGAATGTAAAAAAACAACCAGATTAAGAAATACAGATGGAAATCCCACGATCATTCACTGATATTGATCAATTTAAATTCAATAAGGAGGTAGATGCAATCAAACTGGTTTATTAAAGCATGAATTATTAATAGTTGAACGCTTCAAAAAACTATATTCACTTAATCATTAAAATAAAATTGCAATGGTGGCTTCATATATTGCTATGACTAAAAATAAATTTGTATGAGTATCATATATTTTCACATCATAAAATCAATGACATAGACTCGAAAGGGAAAAAATGTCTCTTAAAAACACATCGATATGAATAAAATAAAACAGGTTGATTTTTGTTTGCATAACGTCTAGTTTGATTACGTAAAGGATTTCAGCAGGGGTTCGGCTCATTCCTAACTTCGGACAGTGTAATAACGGCACAGCTTAAAGAACATCCCGTTAAAATCAGTCTGTAAGTTTTTAAATTACATGCGTTTTCTATGTCATTTACCTTGAAAGTCGTAATAAAAATATTCAGTAACTCGTTTAAAAAAATTTTCGACAACAATTCTTGGATTAGATATTTAGCATTTTAATGCAACATCGTTTGTAACGTTTATTTTGATTGGTTAACGTCACCAATTTTCATGGCATCAATTCACAATTAATGAAATGAAAACGTACGCGCAAGCGCAGACGACGTATGACAGATTTTTAATGTATGATTTGACGTTGTTGTCTGTCAGTTTCATTAGAATGAAGATAACAATATTGTATTTTAAGCTCCGACGGTATCAATTGGTGATTTGGTGGTTGCAAATACCCGTTTACTGGTTCCGCTAACGCGTCGCCAGTAAACTTAATTTGCGACCATCAAATCACCAATTGATGCCGTTGGAGCTTAAAATGAAGAATTCCTTCTATAGATTGTCGAGAGTATTTAAATCACGGGAAAGAAATTTTTAAGATGTTTTTGTGTAAATCAAGTTACCAGTACACAGTAAGGACACTGATTTTAAAGTCAAGGTACAGTTAATGGGCTATGTCACTTTAGGTAAAATTTTGCATACAACTTTCGCCCGTTAAACTGTAACTAGAAATCAAAAATATAGAATTTATCTCTTTCATTTTCTGAAATACTACAGATTGACTTCTTTCAAATAGGTGAACATGTGTATAGAAAACACATAAAAACGGCGAAAAAACGTTCTTAAATTTGTCTTTTGAAAAATCATCAAATCTCCAATTTCAAATCCATAGATTTTCTTTCCAAAACAATATATGTTGTTGATACATTCATTTTCCGTTTTACTGATGCAAAATAATCATATGATCACCAACTTCGTTTTTTTGTGTTTTAACCAATGTGTTACCTAGTCGTTAGTAAACACAACCCATCAAAATCGACATTTCACCATTTTGATCAATCTAGCTTTTCGATCAATTTGTATACCTCTACTTTCCATAATGGCATCATTTGTTGGAAAATATATGATAGAGCATTACTTTTTTAGTTTTGTTGCTTTATCTAAGTTTAGAATAATGTTATGACCTAAAGTAAACGTAATACTATTATTACAAGAGAAACAATGAAAAAATGTTATCATAACTTTTACTAAATTCATCAAACTTATGTTTAAAAAGCCTAATCCCCATTATCGCCACTAAAATGAAAATTTCTCTGTTAAATCTGCGTTAATTTCAAGGTTAGGCTTCAGATATAATAGAAATCTACAAATGTGTAGCAAAAACAAAAAATTGTGAAACTACTATATATGGTCAGATGTGGTGCGATATTTTAGTTGTTAAGTATAGTTATCCTTGGACGTAAAATTTTATCTGCGCAAATATCACTTCGACGGTTATTCCATATTCGCACGGATATCGGTAGCATATTTTTGTCAAACTATTGTAGGGTTTGAGTAGAATGCACATTGAATGAATTCGTAAATTACATGCGCATGGAACAATTACTGAATATGTATAAATCTTTTTAATCCAATCCCAATTCTGTACAGAAAATAACAAAAATATAGGTGCATACATTAACGTTTTATTGCTTTTAATAATGTTACATTTTAGCGTCATCATTTTTTCCTTTATCAAGAAACTCGTAATCTGTGTTGTCCACATCACGTGATTTTTTCACTAGATCTTCTTCGGCTTCATTATCACCAACAGCCCTGAAGTATATATGGTTTAATGATACAAGCATCGTAAAATTATCATTTCAAGAAAGCTAAAACCATTGTTAAAATCATGCCTGTCATATGACACTTTGAAAAACTTCCCATATTTGTCAATGCCCAATTTATACTAAAGAGACATGTGTTATACATTAACGAGACAGCATCTCAAAAACACAAAGAAACTCAACATACTGTCTTCAACATCAAATAAATGTCTGCATAATCTGTTGAGGACTAGATGACCAGAGGGTAGGAAAAATTTTAAATGTTAATTGGGATATATATGTAGTCACCTGTGACACATATTCCTACATATTGTGTATCAGGACATAATATTTTCCAAGATATGATTTCACAATATCATTAAAAAATTTAAACCATTGCTAAAAGAAAAAGATTAAAAGACAAATGAATTCCCTGTCAATTTCAATTTTTGTCATAACACAGTTACTTTTACCCGAGAAAAATGTTGAACCATTGCCAAAAGATAAAGATTAAAAGACAAATGAATTCCCTGTTATTTTTAATTTATCTGATAACAAAGCTGCTTTTACCCAAGAAAAATGTTGAACCATTACCAAAGATAAATATTAAAAGACACATGAATTCCCTGTTATTTTCAATTTTCCAGGTAACACAGCTGCTTTTACCCTAGAAAGATAAACTGACAACAGACACGATCTATTGATGAATATTCACATGTATCTGTGGATAACCTTTGTCCCCCTTTTTCACTAAAAAGTACTAATCGGTAATACATGATCACAAGGACTTCTATATTCTTTTCAGAGAAAATAGATTCAATTAGAGATGCTAGCCAAGTAACATTACAAAACTGTATATATTAAGTGCCTGAATGTTTACCTTCCTTACTTCACAGCATCTTCAACAGTATCTGGTAAGTTGGTGTGTTTAGTTTCAGGCAAGAAAATGCAGAGTATACAAGCTGTCAGTCTAACGGAACCAAATATAATAATTGGTAAGGCCCGGCCAAACTTCGTATCCAGCAATAACCCCTACAAAATGCAATAGTACAACAATGTTGAGAAAATTAACATGTAATAATTGATACTTTGAAATTGAAACTGTGTGAAATCTAACTGAAATGAGTTGTCTGTTATTGTTTGTGCAAGAAATTGTTCGTTGTTCATTCCAATTTTTTCCAACACTTCTGGTGCTTATTAAAATTTTATTTTAAAGTGAGACAAAAAATGATAGGAATACGTTAAAATTTCATGCGCCCGAAGTCTTTTTCAGATTATATGTGTGAAATGAAACATTGGCTACAAATGAATCTTACCAAATCTACAATATAATAGGATGAGATGGAACAAATTCTACCTGCTCCGGAACACACATTTAGAAAGAATCCACGTGCAACAGTAGGACAAAAAAAGCTCCATTGGAAGTGAATTTCCCGACATAGAGAAAAACACGACCTTACGCAATGCCAAAATAAAGGTATCGACAGATTGCAGTTCCGTTAATGTGCGTATGTGTATAACAAAACTGTTTAGTTTGATTTTAATTTACTGATAACAAAATCAATATTTATACCAATAAAACAATATTCGAAGATCTAATTCCAGTGTTGAATTGGTAACCTTTTAGAAGAAGTTTATTCAAAGGATTTATAAGTTTACCCGCATCGTGTATGAATTTCCGGGCTCGGTAAACAACATCATCGTAAAATTTAGGATGTGCTATTCCGTCTGAAATAATTTTTTTATAGGTACAGCCAAACTTGCAAACCAAATCTTTGTATCTATGGAAGAATTTAGTAAAGGTTTTAAGTAATTTGTGGTAACGAAATCTCTGGCTTAATAATTTACCAGTAATACATAGATTACGCTCATTGAAATCCAAAACGTCACCACAGACAAGGACATAACGAATGAGTTGGGATATATAAACACCGTAAGATGGTGCCAGAGGAACATCACCGTAAAAAAAAAACTAACAATAGGGAAAGAAAAATCATCCCTTTTGTCGTAAATTTTTGTGTACAGTATAACGTGTAAAACTGACATTTTTAAGTCTAGGAAAGGACACTTATTGCTGTTAATATTTTATTTATTTAAAGTAAGTTGCTGTTTGTAAATTATGGCAGTATATTTAGAGAATTCTTGATTATTTAACGAAAAAACATCAAGATAACGGTAAGCGTTGTTGGATTTATCAATTAAATGGAATTTAGACGGGTCTTTGCTGAGTTTGGCCATAAACTGTGATTCATAACAGTACAAGAACAAGTCTGCTATTAAAGGAGCATAATTGGTGCCCATAGGAATATCTACAATCTGTCGATAAACTTTATTGTCAAAACGTACATAAATGTTGTCAATGAGAAAATTTATTTGCGATTTGTATTTTTTTTATTAATCTTAAGTAACTTTTTTTATCAAACATGTATCTTTATAAATGGTATGTCATGCGTTTGATTGAGATTCGGATCAATTAATATCTATGTGCTTTAAAATTTCTATAAAGGTAAACATGATTTATATCAATAATTATGAACATAAAATTCATTTGATAACACTTATCAACTTTTTGTTAAAGTTTTAAATGGTTTGAGGTATTTTAAATATATCTTTCGGATCACAGAATCCGTGTACTTTTAAAGATACGCTGAGCGCTTAAAAATATACAAATATACATACAAAACTGGTTTATAAAAGTAAGAAGATATGGTAAAATTACCAATGAGACAACGTTTGACATAAGGAGAGAGAGAGTTTCATATGTGTCATTGATGTATGTTATATGGAAGTACCACTTATTTTTTTAAAGCTTGACTTAATTTCAACTTGCATCATCTTCAACAAGCTTTATTTCCGATGAGAGTTAAAAATTCTAACACTTCGATAGTTTTTCATGCAATAGTAATAATATATGCAAGCGTAATACC